TTTCTCTCACCCAAAAATCCAGCAGATTTCCAGCAGCAACAGTTGCAGTTGACCTCCAAAAGACCAACTGAGAGCATCACATGATTTCCAGCAGCCAGCATTGAAACTGTTGGTCCAAAGCTCAATGTCGCTGGAGCATTCCATGGAGCAATATTGATGCAAACCTGGCACTGCTTCGACACCGTGACTCATATTGATTCATGTCACTGGTGTGACGTTGTATCCAAGGCTCCTACGCCTTTCGGCTCGTTGTGGATTTCGTATCTGGCCTGTGGCACTTCTCACCAGCTTCTCAAAGCTGGGTCTATTTTCAAGATGCAACAAGCATACTATGAGTGCTACATGTAGTATGTCAGCCCAGGCCTCGACACCAGCTTGGACAATGGGAGGGTTCAGGTCCGGCACAGGCTCCTTCACTCCCAGCTGTCTGAATTTTCATAAATTCAATGGCGCCTCAGTGCCTTGAATCCCAAATCAGATTTTAAGCTTCAGGTGGTGCTTTGGTGTACTTCTTTCTCTCTTGGCTCCGGCTTGGTCCACTCTGGCAGTAGCCCCTTGTAGAAAGCGATGCCTTGGTTCCAAGGCTACGGTCAGAGGGTACAGGTTGACATCAACCGACACTTTTTTCAAGGCACCGCCGCGGATCATCTGCCCAGAGCCAGTCCAATTTTGAGGCACCACCTCGGGAAACTACAGTAGTTTGCCCTCTCCCTCCTGTCCCCTTGCGTGCTGTCCGGTTTTCCCCCAGCTGCGAGTATCGCCGAAAATGCGGAAGAATCTGCGCTGCTGTTCCAAGATAACCCTTCGCGAAATAAAACGTCACTCATCAGACACATCAATAAATGATACAGCAATGATATTATTTAGATTTAATTCAATTAGTATCTGAGCTGGTCTACTGTGCTGTGGCCTTCCTTCATTGAAGCCCCAAACTCGGTCCATCTCCTGCGCTTTGCTGATCATGTCGGAGTCAGCTAGCAACTCTTCCACCTGTCCAACATGGGCCAACAAACACACTTGTGAACGCTTGCATAGTTAAGCGTTAAGCTACTTATAGCTACTGGCTTTTCCACCAACCATCCCGAGTCCACAGATTTGCCTTGTCCAGGGCTTTCATGCGGTCCTGCACTCTGCAAGTTTTGCAACTGCCCAGCAGTGAAACTTTTCTTGTTTTTCCCTTGGCCACTGAGCATCACCTGATGGTCATAAAATGTCATAAACGTCGTAAAATCCGCTCCTCCGTTGAAGCTAAGGGCAGACCATGTCCACGAAGGAATGCCACTGGCGCAGGGCCTGCAGGAGAATTCTGCCAAAAACCGCAAAGGAATGTGGAGTGCAAGTGCGGGACATTATGGGACGACGAAGATACGGCTGTCATTTGCACTGTCACTGCCAAACCTGTTCGCAAAACGGTTTTGGCATCATTCATTTCTGGTTCGGATTCCAGTTTCAGATGACTGGTGTGTGTGGTGGCAGAGGCTGTGGTACTACTGAGCGGGAATAGGAGAAAACAAAAGAGCGACAACTGTTCTGTGGATGGGTAGAAACTGGTGGCATGGTGGCCCAGTACCCTGCCATGATTAAAGAGGACGGGGCAACCCGCCGTGATATATAGAAATCTATGATATGATAGTAGGTAACCCCTACCATCCCCTACCTATATAAAGAGTCCCCAGGCTGGTCCACCACCTTGATTAATGAACAAAATAATCTGAACTACAAGTATGTTGGGGGCACCCAAATGAATTCATTTGGTGGTAGTAACCACCCACCTTTATTTATACATGTTTTTCTAACCCACGTAGATTAAGTTGAAACAACATAATCCAACAGTGGAATGCTAGCAATTTCTCTTAATATAGGTGGGCCCCAAATATTTTGTTCTAATTACTTGAGGTGCGGTTAACTAAATTAATTGAACGGGGAATAAATTAATAGGGAACCATCTGCCTTTTGTCAACTGCATGAACAAAATGTGCATTGCAAACACTAAGCAACCCACTATCACTAGCCAAACACGGTTGTCTTTATATAATGATTCAAACTCCAGGCAAATCGCCTTCGGATGGGGACACATGAAACACAAGAGCATTGTCAAGCAACATGTCAATCAAAACAACTAAACCAAAAGCAACCACCACGCAAAATCGTCCCATATCTTAACGCAGCGGGCGAAATTTATTTGGGGGCGGAGCGCTACTGGAGGATCACTAGCCCAGGGAAACCAGATTGTTCCAACCCAGGCCCAAGCAGCATGCCAACAAACGATGAAACCAATGCAGCCGACAAAATTCATTTGGGTGCGGTGTGGGGTACTAGTGGAAACAATTCCAGGTGGGCCAAATTGTTCCAAGCCAGGCCAACAATCCAAACACTCAAAAAACACCCAATATGAACCGTTTTACATCCAATATGAACTGTTTTCCTCACAATTATAATTGATGTGGCATGAGCTGTTTACAACGAAGTGTTTTTGATGCACGCCCCGACTAAATTCATCCTTGGAAGATGTGGTTGGTTAATCCGTCGAACAGCAAATGCCAGCAAACTGGTGAGAAAAAATGGAGACACCAACGGTCCAGCTGGATTAATTTCTTCAGGTAGGGGTTATGATAATATTAAATTCAATCCAAGTTCAAGAACGTGCATGTGATCACGTGCAACGTGGGTAAGAAACGGGGAGTTGGATCAATCGAATAGATCTGTCAACTGGTCTATCCACCAGCATGACGACAGAACAAATGAATGAAATACCTCTGGATCTGAGGCCAATCACAAATCATCAAGGGTCGAGAGCCACTGGATCAAAGGCACAAATCGATCGGAAAAATCACTGAATGCCAAAAATCAATCGCATAAAATGAACCCCCGCTCACATGACCAGATCATCACTTCACCCCGAGCAGATCGGTACCAGCCAAGAGCCAGAGCTGCATTGCGAGCAGATCAGCGCACCATAGACCTTGGCGATGAGAGCAAAAATGATGGTCAGAGCATGGCTTAGATCTGCCAAAAGGGTTGTTTCTCAACCCCATATTAACCAAGGTGGGCTGGGTGGGAGATCAAAATTGGCCAATGTTAGATCGATCTTGAGCCAAAATTGGCACAAGATACGAGCGATCTCATGCCATTCTGACTGAAGGTGAACACCTTCCACTCTTCAGCTGATCAGTTGTAAATTCCAATGGAATAATGACTACATGGTTGAGACCGCACGTGTTGATCAACATGGCATCAGCACTGATCAATGCAGATGAAAGAACATCAAGGAAGGAAAAGAAGAGTTAGGTTGAAAGAACGCACGATTATCGTGATGGACAACCTACCAGACCGATGATAAGTGATCCAATCCAAGTTCAAGAACGTGCATGTGACCATATGCACCACAACCAAACTGCATGCAGAGCAACTTTTCTCTCCAGCGACGTGGGTAAGAAACGGGGAGTTGGATCAATGGTCGATCCACCAGCATGACGACAGAACGCATGGATGAAATGCCTCTGGATCTGAGGCCAATCACAAATCATCAAGGATCGAGAGCCACTGGATCAAAGGCACAAATCGATCGGAAAAATCACTGAATGTCAAAAATCAATCGCATAAAATGAACCCCCGCTCACATGACCAGATCATCGCTTCACCCACGCTGCTACAAATCAGGAAAAATTGGAGCGAGCGTCTTCGAACCTAAACTAGTGCCGACCTGCATCCGATCTCTGGACGGGTGATCAGCTGGGTTGGCATCGGTCGGAACTCGGTTGATATACAATTGAACTCTGAGCTCTAAGGCTATATTCCAAAATGCACCTACTAGCTCGCACAAATCTTCTCGAGCTGAGTATCCTTTCGCTAGAGCTCCCTGTACAGGCTCAGAATCCACGGGCAACAAAGAGCAGGACCCTGCGAGCTTCTCACGAAATGTGCGCAAAGCAACCACCGTGGCGAAGAGCTCTACCATCGCGACCTGCGACTTCTTCGGAATCCACTTGTCGATGAGAGAGAAATCCACAGCGGCTCCAACTGCAACGGTTGAGCTCCTTTCTGAAAAAGAACTCTGCCGATCCAAGGCACAATTCAGAGCAGCCATTCGGTGAAGATCACGAAATCGGGTGTACTATAGGCTGGTGAACTCGATAGGGCTAGGAGGACCTTCGCTGATCAGCCACAGCCACCGTGTTTCAGTGACAGCACCAGCGCTTTGTTGAGCTTGGTGTGGTTCAACTTCGAACACTGGCGTTCCGAAAGGGATCACAGAAAAGCCGTCCCGATCTTACCCCAGAGCTGCGACGCTCCAAACATGAGCTTGCCGCAAAGCTTCCCGCCTGACCCGGTGGGAAAAATTGACAGCCTAGGATGGAGCCGATCTCTTTCTCCAGCTCCACCTTTCTTGATGGCTTGATCTTCAGCAGCATGTCTGGTCGTACGTGACGCCGAGGATCGTGGGAATCGGAGCACTGTTGCAGCTTCTTCGGTTCGAACTGCGCCCCCAATCATGATCAATGATGTGTGGACCTTCTGCGCGACGTCGAAGGCGGACGAGCACGTGACCGAACCAATACTTGTCATCATAGAAGTTGAAAGCAACCACCAAAGAGATCCTCCTCAAAACGTCTGTAATGGCTGCTGATCTTCTGTTGTAGTCTACAGCAGAAACGAAACCAAAAGAGTGACCTACCATGACGAAAAAGCAGACCTTGCCTACTTGCCTGCTGAAGGTTCGCGGAGCGAGATCACACTCCACCTTCTCTAATCTGGCTTGCTTCCTTTCGTCCAGGACTCACCCTTCGATCTTCTCGCCCTTGCTGATGTGAGATCGCAACCACCGAAGAGCAGCAACGTTGACATCTGTAGATACAGGTCGATCTTCTCCGTGGCCGTGGTTCACACCATTCACCGTGGCGCTATCAACACCACGAACCTTATTCTTCTCGACCACTTCGAATCTCTGTGTAGGAATCCACTGATCAGTGCCCAAAAATTCACTGACCTCGTCTCTGGAGAACATTGGGCCCACTGTGTCCCCTTCTTCAACATCCTCCATAGTGGCCGCCCAGATCTCCGTGACCTCGCATTTTTTGACGTTGCGAACCACCTTACCGAAAAACTCCCAGGCCCGGTCGGACAACTCATGGACGGAGATCCCACCTTCACTGGTAAGAATGGCAGGCCACCTGCGGCCGCGCTGAATATTGCCCACGATCGGGAAGCCGTGGAGCAGCACGGCGGGCAGCTGCGTATCAATGCAGCGAGCGGCTGCCAGCATGTCTTGCCATATCAGCACCACCAAGGGCTCGTCATCCGGTTTCCGTCGAAGAAGACGACGAAGGTGCGGATCTTCAACTTGGAGCCACGCATCGGTCGTGGGCCACAGCTCCTGAGCGCGAGCTTCCCAAAAACGAAGAGCTCCGGCACGCTGCCCCAGGACAAAATGTGACTAGAGACAAAGTAGGAACTTCTTGAAGGTCTGGGCCGAGCGCCGGACCCACGGTGAACGGGCCAACCACGTACAAGGCTGCTTGCGCAGCCTGACCAGGCTCCATCTCAGTGGCCAAGAGTGGCGGCAATGCCGAGCGCTTCAGTTGATAGCCTGAGTTGGCTTTCCCTGCCGTGATCCTTTGCTTGTGAGACTTCCCGGGAACTGCCTGGCCCACTGGCCGCTTGCGTTCCGCAGCAGGTGTGACTAATTGAAAAGTGGCCGCCAAGGATCCATGACCACAGTGGCGATCGCCTGCGCCCACGTGCCGCACAAAGCTGGTGGGTAGACCTGCGCAAGGTGGGTCTTGACAGTGCCGATCAGCGGCTCGTGAAAATGCGGCCGAACAGCCTGATCGCAAAGCAGGGCCAGAGCTTTCAAGTCGATGTTGGAGAGCACTGCCGTGGGTTTCTTGTGTTGCGAGCCAAGCCGTCACATATCGAGCCGGAACAGCTTTGCAGATGCAAAGCCGCCAGCGCGACCATGGGCGGCATATCCCACAAGAACGAGTTGGCAGGGTTCTCAATGGACCAGCTGAGCCCGAACTCAGTGAGCAAGGTCGCCCACTGCACTGTGAGATGGATGAACTCGTGGCCCAACTTCAGCTTGTCCAGATCTCGTGGCGCCAGGTCAGGAAGCCCCCAAAGATGATGGCGATCTTGCAGCGGTGGGTGCCCCCAATCGTCTTTGCGAGCAATGCTAAATGAAGAGCACGGTGTTCCAAAATGGATGAACACAATGAACTTGGCGCGGATCAGGCGTCCCACGTGCTCCTGCACTTGTCAGCGGTTCTGGCTTCAGTGGTTACTCGTTGTGCTTGAACCGGCACTTCTCGGCCAGAGCACAGCCCATAGATGAGTTGAAATAATGGCGCCTCTTCGGACCTGAGACTGACGCAGCCGCCTGTGAAATGAGCTTCCACTCGGAGTCAGGGATCCTTGTCCACGTTGAGATCTTTCTCCTTATTCTTGTCGAACTGGTCCTTCTTAATCGGCTTGATCTCCCTGGTGTCGATGGCAATTGCCTTCTTGTTGCGCTTTCTGCGCTGGCGACGACCATGCAGGGGTGGAGATCTTGTCTGGACTTTCGACCACTTGATCTTGTTGGTAATGTGGCTCCTGTTTCTTGTGGTCGACAATGGCCAGAACAGCTTTGGTGCAAGCGTCGTTCCAGGAGGTACTTGTGATTGTGGAGCACCTCCAAGAGTGCGGCTTCAAAAGTGCTGTAGAGCTCCCTCTGCTCGGACTGGAGCCGATGCACCTTCTTGCGGACCAAAGAGTCAGCAGCTAGGCTAGGAGAAAAGGAAGGAAGACCTGGGCATTCCGCCTTGAACTGTCCGAGCTCCTGCATGTATTTCAGCGACCCTGCGGCACGTGAATACATGCAGATATTCAGATTATTCCAGAGCCATGAAAAGCGCATGAACACGGATGTAGCAAGGTTTGCACATCGGTGACCTGATCAGGCTCCTCGGCTTTGGAGATCGTCCGAAGATCCTCTGCGTTCTTGGGCCGGCAGACCTGACTTCTGAACAATGCTACGGCATAAAAAGGAAACATGTCATGGACAAGGAAATTTTGGTGACATTTTCCACGAACTTCTTGTGCGGCTCTTTGGCATCCAGGAGGATCACATCCGGGTGAGCAGTCACGAACCTGGAGCAGAACTCCGCATGATCTTCCTGTGCCATCTTGGGGACCTTGTTATAGGATCCTCCTCCATCCGAGCCCTTCTCGTGGCGAACTGGACTTGCAGGGCGGGACATGAATGCCAAACCGCTGCTAGTTGGATCAGAGAGAGCTCTTGTGCAGCGGCATTCGCACCAGAGCGCCAGTAGGGAGCAATGTCTGCAGAGATGTCCTGACTGGACCTGCAGCGTCGCTGAGCATGGCAAAAACTTCAACTGACAAGAGCCCGGCATCAGCAGAGGCGCGGCACAGATCAGTGCTCAGCCCCATTCGGCCAAAGATCTGGCGCAGGGCGATCTTCGGCGTGCGCGCATCATCGGCATACACCGTACGATCGACCATGTTGAAAGAAAACAGCAAAGACCTAAGAAACTCACTTCGAGCCGACGAAACTGGGATAAAAATGCTGGAAAACCGACACGTGCCTGATCAGGCCAATAGCAGGATTGACAATGGGTGGACTGACCCTTCGCCCCCTGGCTTTGCAGCATTTCATCCGCACACATCTCAGTTGATCTGATCTTCGCTTTCATCTTGCACAACTGGCAGATCATGCCAGGTGCTTGTGGTCCTACTGGGACGGCGTCCGGCATCTTCAGCCGACCAAACTGCGATAAAAAATGTGGCCTCTAAAATCGGCCGAATCAAAAGAGATAGCCGGCAAGGATGCCTTCACAATGAGCTCTCGGACCATGGGCTCCTGGACCTCTTCGTCCTCTTCTTCGATCAAAAACTTCCTGGAGTCCGGGACCCATTCTTAACGGAGCTTTGATGCCATGTCCTTCACCATCGCGAGGGAGAGCTCCTTGCAGCTTCTGGCATGTTTGAGCACGAGCTGCTTGGGATCTTTTCAGTTGGCCTGCAAGCCAACGATCTTGTCGTCCACCTGAGCTTTGACGGTTTCGGATAGCATGGTGACCCGCATAGAGTGCCAAGTGACTCTTGCACCGCCCTCTCAGCCATCTCGAGCTCGTTGGTCTGGATGAGCTTCAGCATCTTCGCTTCCATGAACCCGAGCAAGGAAAAAGCTCTTCAGCCAAGACAAACTACGAGAGTAGGTGAGGGGGGACGCTATGGACTCTTTCTCACTCTTGAGCTCCCAAATGAATTATATAGTCCGATCAGAGATCCTTGGCTGAAAAAGTTCCCAACCAATCTTCAACCATTCTATTCCGGAAAGGGGGCAGTTCGGCACAGCAAATCTTGTGCCTCTCCTCTTCCGCCCGACGTTGGTCTGCCAAACAACGCCGAGCATGGCATCTTCCGACATCTCCAGGGAAGAGGGAGCAACGTGAACTCCGTCATCAAACCTGAGCGATGCATAGATCAAAGCGAGGGCCCGCCAAGCCGTGATCGCGGCGGCAGTCTTGCCCTGATGGGCTAGCCTCGGAACCAGAGCCTCCAGCGCCAGCTGGGGCGGCAATGGAACAACCTCTTTGAGCTCCTTGCCCTTCTCAAGGTGCACCTGGTCGATCACTACCTTGAAGCGAGCTTCGCCCATATTGGGGCACCAGGCGTTTGCAGATCCAGCCCACTGCATAGTTGAACGATGGGAGCACGGCCGGCCCACACCCTTGATCTTTCGTGGGCAGGTAAACTCTGAGACCATGAGCAGCTGACCACTCGTTGAACTTTTCCCAGTGTCTCACGTTCTGCCTGATCGTTCTGAAACCGCCGGCTTCAGCTGCTTGAGGAGATCTGCTTCAGCAATTGCCAGACCTATGCAGCGTGAGGGATCATTCACACCTGCACTAGCCCCGGCACGCTCACAGATCTGCTCGAGACTCAGGCACCACCTCCTCCTGTCCAGATTCTTGGAGTCCTGGGTCGATGGGATGATTTAGCAAAGCCAGATCCCCCAGGTTTCTTCCCGACCTGCAGCGGGAGGGGGGCCTTGTGCACAACGTGGTCGTGGCGGCTCTGCCGAACCGTAGCCACGATCAATGGATATCTCTTCTTGAACCCGCTTGGCTGAACGAGACGCCATGTCCGCCAGAAGGTTGACCATGTCCAGCCGCAGCAAGGCGGCATTGATCACGTGGTCATCCGCGGACAGAGCCGGCAGAAAGAGGAGAACTTTTCATCAGGGGATTCGACATCATCATCCGGCATGGCTAGCCAAAAAGAACTCTACTCGGTCGAGTCCCACCTTTTTGAGGACCGATCTAAAAATGTCATCGAAAATTGGCAGACACAAAAACCTATGAATAGATCTGTCCATGGTGAGTAACCTCTATGCCACTCGATCCAAGAGCTGAGGTCCCGTTGCGATCTCCCAAGCAACTGTGAAGGATCTCGCCTGCGGAGCCGGTGACAAGGGCACTGATCAACCCGGTCGGACCCGCAGGCTGGCCAGGATCTGGCCATGTGTTGAATGGGATCTACTCCAACACATTTCAGAAATGATCTCTTCTCAAAAATCCCCAGCCATCATCAAAATTAGAAAATGAGACTCTCTCTCTATATAATTCTATATATATATAATATATATATATATACACATACACACATACATACAGATTTACATAAATAAACAATGAATCAGATAATCGATCGAATAGGGGGAAGAAAGCAAGGGGGAAACGCACACAACAATGGGAAAAACATGGGCATGATCAACACTGCCTGTTGCTCTTCCCTTTCCCTCGAGCTCACATCCCACGGGTATGATCAACCCGTGAAAGATCAGACGCTGGGAGTTCGGACGGCTGATCTGCGGGACATGATCAGAACCCGGTCGCCCACCCTCCTTTTACAATGCGTCCACGGCGGACTGCGTCTTGATTCTCCCAGATCTAGATCATGATCTGGTCAAAACCCACTTGCGTCTTGCAAGGTAAAAATGCAACCGACAGTCAAAAGATCTATCTATAGTTGATCGACTGTCTAAACGACAAAAGATCCACCAACATGGCAAGGATCTCCACAGAAGCGATGAAGATCTAGACCTCGGAGGGCTTCTCAGGAGCCGAGCGGTGTTGCTGGCTTCAATGCTGCCGGCGCAGAACTCGGTGTGGCTCTGGCGCGGGTGCTGGCGTGCTCTCAGGCACCTTCGACGGATGAGCTGCCGTGAACTTGGCCTCCGCTCCACCTCTTCGATCGTGGCCGTTGAGCTGTTGTACACTATGCTGGCCATCGTCTCTGCAAAGATCTGGGGGGTGAGCAAGGATGTGGATCCTGCAAACCTTCGACCCATCCTGGCACGATCACAGTCCTCATTGACCGCATGCACTCCCTTGCCTTGATTGGTGTGACGAACTTGGAGCGATCGCTCGTTGAGCTCAAGCCCCATCTGCAATCCATCTGCTTGTTCACGGAGACCAGGGTGCCCTCGCCATGGGTGCTGCTCGGAGCTCCACTCACCTCCGCTTGGCCCGAGAGCCATGCCTCTGATGTCAAGAAGCCGGTGGCCCTGGTGGGGACGATCCCTCCCGCTCCGTCAACTTGGACCTGTTGCCCTGATCCAGGTCCTCTGCAAAGATAACCAAGCAGCCGACCTGGCTCTCGTCGTCGTCGGCTTGTCCAGCTTTCATGGATGGAATGCAGCTGCCCTGGTTGGCCTCAAGGACAAAGAGCTCATCCACGAACTTCTGCTGCACGGTCGAATCCTTGTCGGAGCGATAGCCCCTGAACAAAATCTCATTTCCGTTGTAGACCATCGCGTCAGCGTATGATGGCGACGCGTCTCTCAGCATTGACTCAGCATGGGCCGTGAAAATGGCTGGAGTGCAGGGGGCGAGATGGCACGAGCTGTGCTCTCGTCCCATCCAAGGTAATCCAGCCTGACCAGTAGATGGAACCTATCCTCAACCGCCATATCCACCTTGACCTCGGCGGCTCTGATCGTAGCCTCGCTGCAAGTTGCGGGACATTGCTCGAACAAGGGGATAAGGTCGAGGAGCTAAGGGAAAATGCCCAGGCCCGAGATCAAAATTGGCCAATGTTAGATCGATCTTGAGCCAAAATGGCACAAGATACGAGCGATTTCATGCCATTCTGACTGAGGGTGAACACCCTCCACTCTTCAACTGATCAGTTGTAATTTCCACTGGAATAATGACTACATGATTGAAACTGCACATGTTGATCAACATGACATCAGCACTGATCAATCAATGCGCATGAAAGAACATCAAGGAAGAGAAAAGAACAGTTAGGTTGAAAGAACTCACGATTGACCCACTTATCCCAACCTACCAGACCGATGATAAGTGAACATATTGTATTGATCTCTCTTCAGAGCCATACACTTCAGAATGGCCTTCCCCTGCTTCTTCCACAGGCAATCTGCGGGATGGAGCAAAGGTGAAGCGGTGTCGGGTGTCATCATTCTGGTCCCTAGGAGCTTTGCTTCACCAGGCCAATCATTAGAAATATCGGTTAACAATTGCCGAACAAAGATTATCAACCAAAGGTTTCCGGCACAAGCGCCTATATTCATACACACATATATATATATATATTTATTTATTCATAACAATATACATACAAACTTGGTCAGTTTTTGCATCTCACTCCTTGCGGTCGAGAATGCAGGAAGAAAACACCCTGGTTTCCAGATGTTTCCAGGGTCGTTCGCTGCCTTCGCCATGTCAACTCTGCAAGTTCCATCAAGGCATCACCTTGCACCAGCTGTGTCTTGGTCCTTAAGCTGGTCAGCCATAGAATTAATCTGGTTCTCTCCTGGCCATTTGAGATATCCATGAGGCCCTGACGACAAATTACCGCCTGAGACAAGTTGCCTGGAAGAACCCATGGAGCAAAATTATGGCAGGTGGTGCAGGTGTCTCCTGACAATCACCTGGCATTTTCAAGATGTCTGCCGCTGCCTGCCTGTCTATTCTGAGGATTGCCCGTTCTCCATTTCCAGGAGCCTCCAAGTGACAGCAAGCCAAGGTGGATCCTTACCTGGCCGTGGTCTCTCACTTGGCCTCTGTACGAAGTTCAGTCCGGAGGATCTTGGACCTGAGATCCGCATAGATCCGCTGAAATTGCTGGGAAGGTTAGGTGCACTTTGGCTTGTGTGGATCGAAGGACCCCTCATAGCAGACAAGCACAAGGGAAGAACAGAACCTTTGGAAGTTTTTTCCCGATTTGCAGTGGTGGGTGCTGGAAGCGGCAGGACATTCATTCACTGGTTGTAAGAATCTCGGGTAGCCTCTTATCAGTTCATAGTTTTTGCCAATCTGATCGAGACGGTGAGTCAGGGTCAGCGATTTCCTTCCTTCCATTATTGATTTATGACTAGGTGTTGGGCATGTTCCATACTTCACATGCATCACATGGGGTAGCAGTTGTGACTGGCACAGGAAGTCTTCAGAGATCTAAGTTTACATCTGTCTTGTGCAGCCTTCAGCTGGAAATCAAGGTTTTATAAAAACTATCATTATATGTTCCTTGCCAGTATGGGCTTTCATTTCGGTTTTCATTCATTGAGATTCATGGCATGTATCTTGTTCATTAGCAATGCCTGCTGTGCTCCTTATCCAAAATGCCTTGGAAAAATGATGCGGTACTTTTGGCAAAAGAAACAATTTGAATTTGAATGTAGCTGTAAACACAAACAGGAACCAAACATAAGACAGCATAACGAGACACTAGGGCAATGACACAATGAAGAGGAACCACAAATCCGAAAAAACAAATGAAAACATGACAATGTTTGACAGCATGAAGATAAAATGAAAACCAAACAACAACTGAAAAAATGAACATGTTTGACCTCACCATTTAAATGAAACAAGTGAAAAAGAACAGGAGAAGAAGAATGAAAAAACGAAAAGAGAAATCCAAATGGAAAAGAAAAGGGTTATGATTTTTTTAAAGGACTATTTGTGTTTTTCAGTCTGGGGCACTTTTCCCTGCTATTTGCTACATTTTAGGGCTAAAATCTCTGATTTGCGTGCTATTTGCTGCATTTTGGAGCCAACATCTCTGATTTGCTTGCTATTGGCTGCATTTTGGAGTTAAAATCTCTCCGCAATTCATAAGCAAAACGCAAACCAATATGCTGGTCAAATGCTATCATTATAAAATCAAAATATCAATCAGGATTTTAAGCACTATAATATCAAAATGGCTACCCCCGTTGAAACATGTCCATTTCCAACATATGAATCACTATAAAATCAAACTTGAGGGGGGTCCTCTGTATTTGCGGCAGTCTATAAAATCAAAAAGTCAGGAACCCCAATTTTTTGTGACAACAAAATATTTACATAAAAAATCAATTTATACAGTCCCCTGCGCCCTTGATTTTATAGAGGATTCCCGGAGGGGGATTTATATGCAAACTACAATACAAAACTCAACAAACGCCAAGAGCCAAGTGAAGTGAACGGCCAAAACCAAAGCCAAGTGAAGCCAAGTGAAGCCAAGCGAAGCCAAGCGAAGCCAAGTGAAGCCAAGTGAAGCCAAGTGAAGCCAAGTGAAGCCAAGTGAAGCCAAGTGAAGCCAAAGCCCAAAGCCAAAAGCCAAGTAGGCACGCAAACAGGGGATTCTAGCTCCAAAATGCATGCAAAACACAGATTTTAGCCCCAAAATGCAGCAAATAGCAAGGAAAGCTGCCCAGGCTGAACACAAAAAAAAAATCCTTAAAAAACAAAAGATCCTTCCCCCAAAAAACTATCCAAAAGAACATGAACAAAAGACACCCGACACCCAAATGAAAAAGCACCATACATGGTACGGTAAGATACAGTAAGCAAGTCGTCATTATTTTTGTGGGTGCTGGCACGCAGTGCTGAGTTCAAGGCCCGTCTGCCCAGTAGTGTCTCCACATCAAAGGAGCTTCCAGGCCCAAGCCTTCCATAAGTGCCATGAACATCAAAGAGGATGGGGAGAAACATGAAACTCATGGTGAACCATTCAATCTCTTTTCCCCTTCAGAAACTCACCAAAAGTCCTTACCTTTTCCGTCTTTTCCAGTCAGGGCCTTGGTGCTGCAATATCTCAATCTCTGCAGAATGAACGGCAGAAGCCAGGTCCAGACCTCGAAGGTTGAAGCCTGAGTGGCTTTGCAAAGGCAGCCGGTCGAGGTATATAGCTGCACTGTAAGTATGGTCCATCTGGACCAGTGGACATGGTTCCACATCGGGATTTATCTCGCTACGCGCAAGGAATGCTGGCAATCTTTCAGCTACATTACAAAAAATGTTGGAATGCCCTTCAATGACTATTGCAAATTATCGGTGAAATCGATGAAACGTCAGGCCATGCATCTCAGCACCAACCCAGTGGCTTGTGGCGGAGCTGGTTGCCATTCTTCCGACAGGTCGCCGCAGAGGAGGCAATGCATCCTTGCTGTATGAAGCTGTGGGCATTAGCGACATGGGATACCCAAGGGACTCGTTTCAAGCATTGAAGCATTGGTTTGGGATGATTTGGTTTTAGCTGAAAATGAGCCAAAATTTTGTTGAAAGCCATGTGACACAGACCTTCATGGGTCCAATGATGGCATCCAATGCACCAAAAAAAATGACCCAATGACAGTCTCAGCAACTGGCTTGTTGGCATGCAATTCAAAGGTCACGCGTTCCGGGTCGCTGCTGACTCCTTAATTGAATGTAATGATGTACTTGGCGTAGGCGTAGTCTTTTCGAACACAAGAGAATCACTGAAATTGACTGGCAGTGCAATGGAAAATGGGTGCCACTGCAGAGCAACTGCACAGCAGCTACAGGGTGCTCAACGTATTTTGCACTGTGGAGCTGCGTCCTGGGGGAGCCAAGACCCTGAGGTAGCACTGTCCCGACAGCCAGCGCACTGTGGGGACAGTCACGCTGCAAAATGCACTTTGCTACAACCACTTCAGCTGGACTTAAAAACAACTCAAATGGAACTTAAATGGTTTTCGCACTTTCCAGTGATGTCAACCTCAGCTTTAAGACTTTAAGATTGAAATATATTGAAATCTTGAAATTCCAGGGCATTTCTTCTTGAAATTCCATGTGAAATCTAGGGAAATGTCCGTGGAATTTGTTCAGGTCATGGCTTGAATGTCCTCAACATTTGGCGGGTCCTCATTTTCTGCTTCCTGCCGCCAACACCTGAAAGCCGGGTGAGTCTGAGGACGGAGCTGCATGTATATCTGTATACCTATCTGTCTGTACATTGATCTATCTATCCATCCATCCATCTATCAATCTATGTATCTTTATCTATCTGTATCTATCTGCATCTATCTATATCCATCTGCATCTATCTGCATCTATCTGTATCCATCTATCTATCTATCTATCGACCTATGGATCCTTATCTATCTGTATGCATGTGTATCTATCTGCATCTATCTGTATCCATCTATCTATCTATCGACCTATCTATCTTTATCTATCTGAATTCATCTGAATCTATCTGTATCTATCTGTATCCATCTGTATCTATCTGTATCCATCTGTGTCTATCTGTATCCATGTGTATCTATCTGTATCCATGTGTATCGATCTGGGTCTGAACCTATTTGTATCCATCTGTATCTATCTGTATCCATCTGTATCTATCTGTATCCAACTGTATCTATCTGTATCTATCTGCATCTTTTCTGTATCTATCTGTGTCTATCTGCATCCATCTGTTTCTATCTGTATCTATCTGTATCGATGTATCCATCTCTATCAATCACTATCAATCTCTATCGATCTCTATCGATTTCTATCTCTACCTATTTCTACCTATCTCTATCTATCTCTATCTATCTCTATCAATCACTATCAATCTCTATCGATCTCTATCGATTTCTATCTCTACCTATTTCTACCTATCTCTATCTATCTCTATCTATCTCTATCTATCTCTATCTCTATCCATCTCTATCCATCTCTATCTCTATCTATCTCTATCTATCTCTATCTATCTCTATCTATCTAATCTATCTCTATCTATCTCTGTCCACCTCTATCTCTCTCTTTCTATCCATTTCTATCGCTATCTATCTCTATCTAACTCTACCTATCTCCATCTATCTCTTTCTGTGTCTATCGATCTCTATCGATCTCTATCTATATCTGTCGCTATCTATCTACCTATCTATCTACCTGTCTATCTTCCTATCTATCTCTATCTACCTCTATCCATCTCTATCTATATCTGTCGCTATCAATCTAACTATCTATCTCTATCTATCTCTATCGATCTCTATCTATCTCTATCTGTCGCTATCTATGCACCTTTCTATCGATCTACCTATCTACCTATCTACCTATCTACCTATCTACCTCTCTACCTCTCTACCTATCTACCTATCTACCTATCTACCTATCTACCTATCTACCTATCTATCTATCTATCTCTCTCTCTCTCTATCTCTCTCTATCTCTCTCTATCTATTTCTATCTATCTCTATCTATCCATCCATCCTATCCTATCCTATCCTATCCTATCCATCTATCTATCTATCCTATCTATCTATCCTATCTACCTACATACCTACCCATCTATCTACCCAACTATCTATCTATTTATCTATCTAGCTAATCTAATCTAATCTAATCTAATCTAATCTAATCTATCTAACCTGTCTAATCTATCTAATCTATCTAATCTATCTAATCTATCTAATTTTTCTAATCTTTCTAACCTATCTATCTATCTATCTATCTATCTATCTATCCACCTGTCTGCCTACATACCTACCTGTCTATCTATCTATTTATCTATTTATCTATCTATTTATCTATCTATCTAGCTAATCTAATCTAATCTAATCTAATCTATCTATCGATCTATCTATGTATCTATCTATCTATCTATCTATATTCTATATGATATATCTATATTATCTACCTATCTATCTATCTATATTATCTATCTATCTATATTATCTATCTATATTATCTAGAAATTATCCATCTATCTCTCTATCTATCTAGCTAGCTAGCTATCTATCTATCTATCTATCCATCTGTCCACCTATCTACCTATCTATCTATCAATGTATGTGTCTCTCGATCTATCTATCTACCTACGTATCTATCTACCTATCTATCTATGTATCTATCTATATTATCTATCTATATCATCTATCTATCTTATCTATCTAATCTAACTATCTTATCTATCTATCTTATCTATCTATCTTATCTATCTATCTATCTATCTGTCTATCTCATCTATCCTATCTATCCTATCTATCCTATCTATCCTATCTATCCTATCTATCCTATCTATCCTATCTATCCTATCTATCCTATCTATCCTATCTATCCTATCTATCCTATCTATCCTATCTATCCTATCTATCCTTTCTATCCTATCTATCCTATCCTATCCTATCCTATCTATCTATCTATCCTATCTATCTACCTACATACCTACATACCTACCTATCTATCTATCTTATCTATTTTATCTTATCTAATCTAATCCAATCTAATCTAATCTATCTATCTATCTACTCTATCTACTCTATCTACTCTATCTACTCTATCTACTCTATCTACTCTATCTACTCTATCTACTCTATCTACTCTATCTACTCTATCTACTCTATCTAATCTATCTAATCTATCTAATCTATCTAATCTATATAATCTATACAATCTATATAATCAATCTAATCTACTTAATCTATCTATCTATCCATCTACCTATCTACCTATCTATCTATCTTTTTATCTATCTAGCTAATCTAATCTAATCACATCTAATCTAATCTAATCTACAGTAATCTATGTATCTATCTATGTATCTATCTATCGATCTTTGTATCTATCTATCGATCTATCTATCAATCTATCTATCTATCTCTCTATCTGATCTATCTGATCTATCTTCTCTATCTTCTCTATCTTCTCTATCTTCTCTATCTTCTCAATTTTCTCTATCTTCTCTATCTGTCTGTCTGTCTGTCTGTCTATCTATCTATCTGTCTGTCTCTCTATCTCTCTATCTATCCATCTATCTATCTATCTATCTGTCTATCTGTCTATCTATCTATCTATCTCCTCCAATCTAATCTAATCTAATCTAATCTATCTATCTATCTAACAAACTATCTATCTATCTATCTATCTATCTATCTATCCATCTATCTTGTCTATCTTATCTATCTTATCCATCTTATCCATCTTATCTATCTTATCTATCTTATCTATCTTATCTATCTAATCTATCTCTGTCTAATCGATCTAATCGATCTAATCGATCTAATCTATCTAATCTATCTAATCTATCTATCTATCTAATCTATCTAATCTATCTAATCTATCTAGTCTGTCTAATCTGTCTAATCTATCTAATCTATCTAATCTATCTAATCTATCTGTCTATCTGTCTATCTGTATATCTGTCTATCTGTCTATCTATCTATCTATCTATTTATCTATCTATCCACCCATCTATATGTTCGACCCACCTATATGTTCGACCCATCTATGTCATCGACCTATTTAAGCCTATTTATATGTTTGATCTATCCATATTATCGATTTATCTATATCATCGATCGATTTATATATCGATCCATCTATATTATCTATCTATCTATTTATCGATCTATCTACAGTATATGATCGATCTATCTATATTATCGATCTATCCATATCATCGATTTATCTATATCATCGATCTATCTATATTTTTGTTCTATCTATATTATTAATCTATTTAAATGATCGATCTATCTAAATTATCGATCTGTCGATCGATCTATCTCTATACTCTATTCTCAATTCTTTATTCTCTACTCTACTATCTATCCTATCCTATCCTATCCTATCCTATCCTATCTATCTTACCTATCTATCCGATCTACCCATCTACCGATCTACCTATCTACCTACCTACCTATCTATCTATTTATCTATCTATCTATCTATCTATCTTTCCATCTACACTGTCTTTTACTTTGTGCTATATGATATAGTATTTATCTATCTATCTTTATTTATTTCTATCGTTCTTTCTTTCTTTCTGTCTTTCCTTCTTTCCTTCTTTCCTTCTTTCTTTCTTTCTTTCTTTCTATCTCTATTTACATCTATCTATCTCTATCTCTATTTACATCTATCTATCTCTATCTCTATTTACATCTATCTATCTCTATCTCTATCTCCATCTCTATCTCTATCTATATCTATCCATCCATCCATCCATCCATCTATCTATTTATATCTCGCTCTCTCTCCCCCTCTCTCATTTGACAGAATTATACATGATATATCAATATATATGTATATATACATATATCATCATTTGAAAAGGATATCATCATGAATCATCCATATGTACGTATATGTGCGTGCAACGGCGAGAAAACAAACTGCTCAAACAATTGAAGCAATGAATACCTGGACCGAGCCCCTCACCCAGTCCAGCTGTGAGACTGCCCCATGAAGCAGCCAATTTGGTTTTCTATCCCACACCCTGTACTAAGATCTGAAAGCAATGTCTCCAAAGAGCATTAATTTGCACATTTTCACCGATGCAATGATCATCGCCAGCGACGATGTTTGAACAGTGTTCGACTCCACTGACACGATATCACTGTTGCATATGCAGCACTGCCGTCAGGAGCTTTTCCTCTGTGGCGGCTCGTTTCTATCTACACGTTACCGTTAAACGCCCGGCCATCCATTGAAACAAGGGAGCAACACCTGCATGAAAACAAAGTAGTCCCACCATATTGAACGGACCTTCTCTGGAAATTTGTTCAACCCTGCTAGAGAGGTTTGAAAGAAAGTATCTGTACCACGTGCATGTACCATTGCATGTGTGGCCAACTTTCTTCATGTGCAGGATGCTCTTGATGGACTGGAGCATGAGGAGGAACTCAGGCCTGTGCAAGGGAAGCATCGGGACATGCTGAGGCTTGAGATGGGAATCCGCGACGACAACTCTGAACACGCAAAAGACCGTTGCGTGACAGTTTCTTACACTGAAATGGTTCAAGGCTCCAGCAAGAACCAAGTCAGTTGATCGCCTTGCTGAGACAATTGAGTGGGAAAAAACAAAATGTCATGTGAGGCACAAGTCCATCTCTTTGCATCACCTCCTGCCATTCCCCGCTGAAAGCTAAGCAACACGCGTCATCGCCTGAGCTAGGGAACTTAATGCACCATGATTCACCCGTGTCAAACCGACTCGACCTCAACAAGAAATGCATCGTGGCCTCGTGCCGAGTCGAATGGTGAGTCCTACTTCGTAAGGATGCTGATGCCACAGCAGTTTTCGTTTTTCCATTAGTCATTTTTTACCCTCAGATTCTACCTCCGCTTTTTTGCTTGTCACATGTTGTTTTTGTATCCTAATCTTGCCATTCTTGCGGGTTTCCTGATGACTCTTGGACTGGATATGATTCTTGTGTGAGTGGCTCCCAACGTTCCCCTTTCCATCTGTCCTGTCGTCTGAATGTGAGTCGGAAGACCGGTTATGGTGCTGGGTGGTCCACACCTGATCACATTCGATCAATGACCGGAGAAACATTTCTGCCATAGTCGAGCAGTCTCTGAGCGGCCTTTGCAAGGTGCTCCACAGGAACATCAGCCAGAGACTGCGTGCCCCTTTTCTTGGAGTCATGCAGCTGCTTGAACGCCTCAAGCACTGACACCTTGGCCACATCTGATCACTTTAAATTCCCTGTAAGCCCCTGCTTTAAGCTGTTTTCCCGAGCTGTCTAAGACTTACCAGACTTTTAAGTCCGTCCATCCTCTCACGTGTCCAGCGCGTGCTTTTACGCAACATTTTGGAATGGCTGGCTGATCATGCAGAACGGTTCGGGCGCTTAAAGACCAACTATGACCAACTTGTGGCGAGACTCTCTCATTGTGCAAGACTGGTATCCAGACACACCAGTGGAATTGTGGTCAAATGACTTAACAAATGATAGAAACATCTGCTGTAAAACTTTGCCTACTATGGGCGCACGCCACATGAACGAACGCAAGACACCACTAAGCCAAAAGAGTCTCGGAACGACTGAAGACGTTGATCACAAGCGATGTCGGATTGCCTGAACGACTACTTGTACGGAACCGGATGGCACATCTATATTATATATATACACGCACATCTATAAGCTCCTGCAAATCAAAAATGCCCGAGGGCAAGAACAAACAAGGTGAAATACAGCACATACTTCTTGGGACCTCCAGGACAAGAAAAAAATGTCCTTCAGAACAAAGGCCAAGAAGGTGACCAAGAACTGCTTGTGGCAAAGCATTGTTGGAAAGGAGACGAGCGACGAGCAACTACTTTATGCAACTAGTCGAGGCGGCTGACAGTATGGAACAAATGCAATGGTCCAATACAGTCTCTATATTGCCAGCTTCCAATCCGTCCAAGCGTCCATTGGCAACTTCTGCCCTCCCTGTCACTCATTTCCCGATCTGTGCGTCATAGCGATTATGTATATAAACAAAAAATATCATCAGCAATGAATTACTTGCAGTTGAGTTAAAACAGCATCAATGACCATCAAGCGCCGGCTGAACGCAATTCAAGGATGCAAATAGTCGATGCACAAGCAACGGTGGCAAGCACATTTTTTCTCCTCAGCTGTCGTGCTGCCAATTTCACCTTGGAAGAACGACCCTAACAGCGACCTGCTACTTGGCAATACATCCAAGTGCCGTTCCATCTCACATGTCTCCGGTCTCATTCACTAATTGGGCAGCTTGACCCAGTCCACATTCTTTGGATGACCTCTTTTGGTGAGGTGCAACCTCACTTCGTACTTGCTGCCAGTAGAACCGCCGTCTCTTCCCACAGTCCAGTTTAGGCCATGCGCACTGATGCTAGGCCCTTGAAGCACATGGATGGTGTAGGGTGTGGCATTGGCTCTATCAGGATGTAGGGTCCTTTCCCTGAGCCCATCCAAAAGGATCTGAAAGCTCTCCTCATTTCTGAGACCAAGAGTGATGATGTACTTGTAGTAAGTGCCATCAAACTCCATCTCCTTGGCTGTTTCCCAGTTGTCCCAGGATCCCACAATACTATATTTCTGATGGGTGGCTGCTTGACTCTGCTTCTCATCCACCAGGCGCTCCCACTTCAAGTCGTACTCAAACATGCCAGACTCGCCACGGCGAGTGAGCTCTATCCTGAAGACATCTCCTGCTTGGCCATTGAGAAACCAATTCATGCCATGTCCTTGATCATCAGGACCTGCAAGCGGTTGTGTCATGGCAGCCTTAGGCGTCTTGGGGTGAATGACCTGTGACCAATCACGATTGCGAAGGATCTGGAATTCGCCCCCATCACGCCAGAGCACAGCTGTGGCAGCATAGATTCCAGGCTCTCCGGGTACCATCTCTGAAAGGTTCCAATCATTCCAGGAGCCAGCAATGTAGAACTGGCTGACTCTCTCCCTTGTGAGCTGATCTGACAGTCGGGCCTGGGGGTGTCCTGCAGGTAGCTTTTCCCAAGTGACATTTCGCCATCTGCCTGTGACACGAAGGGTTACTCTATAAGAGTCTCCAGGCATTCCATAGTCAGCTGCAGGACATTTTGGCTTGGCTTCGCCGGGCTTCTCTTCGGTCATCTTGATTGCTGTAGCCATCTTGGGCAGCAAACTTTCATCCCCCAGCTCCTTGGGAACTTTGATGGCTGGAAGCTCCTGCCTGCCATCAATCACCCAATTGCAACCGTGGCCCATGGCACCGGGTCCAAACACCGTAGTGTCCTTGAAACCCTTGGCATGACCAGGGTGCAACACTCGTGCGGGATCTCCATCAAGCCAGATCTGAAACTGCTCAAACCTCGACTCGCCCAGCACCACGATGTAGGTGTAAGTACTGTCACCTTCAGGCTCCATGGCCTCGGCTTCCTGCCACTGAGACCAGGAGCCGACGATCATGTAAGCATGGTTGGGCATCTGTTCGGTAGCCAAGGCCCCACCCCCACCAGGCCAGTACATAATGCTGTCCCTAGCCGAGATGACCACCTGCTGAGCATTCTTGTCACGCATGGCACCCCAAGCAATGGTGTAGATGTTTGAGCCACCAAAGCCACGGGCCATGACTCCGACAAAAGCACTTTGCTTCTGGTACTCCATGAGTTCCGTCGCGATGTTGACGGGCTGGTTCTCAAGGTCACAATGAGGGTTGGCCTGCCGCAAGTGCAAGTTTGGTGTTGCGTATCCAAATCGGATTGCGCTGATCACTCGCATGAAGGAGATGATTCCGGAGGTTTCTATCTGATTCCCGACGCTGCTTTTGACAGAGGTCATCAGCAGTGGTGGGTCCTTTGCATCTTCGCTGCGGTGTGCCCTCACCATGGAACCCACCTCAATGGCATCTGGCAAAAATGCACCTGCCCCATAGGCCTCCACAGCATCGACGTCTGCGGGCACAATGCTGGCATTTTGCAGAGCCTCCGCAACCACCTCTTGCTCTGCTGGACCATGAGGTGCTGATAAACTTGCACCCTTCCCGTTGTTGTTCATCATGGCACCAGCAATGGACCCCAGTGGCTCCTCCTCACTGGTGACATACTTGCCATCCACCAGCTGGCTTGAGGCCTTCAAGGTCACAGCTGCAACACCATCACCACGCACATAGCCACTGGCAGACGAATCAAAGGTTAAACATCTTCCAGTTGCACAGAGCCAGCCGGAGGCGCAATGTGTGGGCCACCAAACTGCTGCGAGCAAAAGGTGTGCAGCAATAGCCACAGAGAACTCATTCGGGGTGGCACGACCCTTCCGTTGAACAGCTTCGGCTCCAAGATAAATCGATGTGGCGCCAGAAGAGGCATCTGTATCTATGGTCATGCTGGGCCCTTTCAAGCCCAGGGTGAAGGAGAATCGCCCAGAACTAATCGACAAAGCTCCTCCAGTGGCTGCAAAAGCACCCTGATCCAATTCTCGTGGCATCATGGACCACTCAACGTTGCCACAGCCAACATAGACCCCGCAGGTTGTGTTCACCAAGGTGTTCTTTCGCATGCCCATATTGAATAGAGCTTCGTAGCCTACTTCCAAGATCAGCCTCTGGTGGGGGTCCATGGACTTTGCCTTGCGCAGCAGATCGAATTGCAGAAGAAAGCAATGATCGAACATTTTGGAGGAATCAACGGGTGTGTGACGGCACTATTCGAAAATGGACATGACGGTAACAGCATTACTAATCACAAGGCGATGCAAAAGGGGCAACCAAATTGGTGATGATACTCAGGGAGTGTGGCGAAGCTAGCATCTTTGCACCGGGCTCTGGAACATGTCGCCTTCTCATCGGTTTTATCATGCACCTTCTTTGCCGCTCAAATATTCTGATCCACTGTATTCTGGATTATTGCACATGGGGTGAAAGGGGGGGTTCTTATCCGTTTATTGCTGTGAGGTTGTCCCCTGTCCACACTTATTGTTCTTCAGTTTGTTTCTTTGCTGCTTCCCTTCTGTGATGATTTTGGTCATGTCTCACTCTTTCTCTTCTATGTATTCCACTGCTTCTTGCTCTTTTGACTTTGCTTCTTTCCCTCCTTCCAGTTTTCACTGCATGTTGCCACAGGAAGCTTTGCACATCATAACATCATACGCAATAACGCCTTTTGCACTTTTAAGCACTCGTCGGCACTCGTTTGCCATACCTGCCTTACTTTTATTTCTTTTGTTTGCCTACATTGCCCACACGACAAGTGAAACTTCCGCTCTTGGTCACATACAAACGTTATAACAACCCGCTCAAGGCCACCTAGCATTTAGACATATTATGAAATATTTACTGTAGATATATTTAGAATCTAGAACATTTTAGAACATACTACTCTGTGTCCAGAGTAATTCCCCTTTCTGTTGACTAGTGTTGATTATACACTTCAGCCATCTTCAGCCCGGGGTCTCTTCGTCCCTGGCCTCGTTCGGGGACATGCTAAACATCTTGCAGTCGAACAGCTCAATGCCATCCATAAAGCTGCCATGTTTGCAGTAGGATTTGAAGTGTCTCCAACTTTCTGGATCGGGATCATACACCTCCTCGTGGTCCCACCTGATCCGTGGCACATCTTGTGGGTAGTCCGGGGCAAAGGCAGTAGCCATGCAGAAGGCATCAGGGGATTCTGTGGCTGGCACCTTGCAGGCCTCGCCTTTGACGGCGATCATCTGGCCCTTGTGAAACATGTGATTCATGGCACTTTGCCATTCGCGGGGGATGTCAGGGTCCCAAAACTGGGAGTTGAGGTTTTTCTCCTTCAGCTCCCGCAGTCGATTTACGGTCCAGTCATCCAGCTCCTTGGCTGCTGGAACCATTTTGTCCGATCTCTTTGTTCTTTTTGGTTTCCGATCGCCCTGCAAGAAAAAGGAGCTCATGGCCAGGGAGCGTCCATTCGAGAAATGCTTGTGTGAGAGGATGTCGGGGCGTAACACCACTAATGTTCCTGGGTATGTCTGAATCTCGTAAGTCTCCGCATCATCGGTGTTGTAGGGTTTCATCTCTAGGGTCCCACTGCTGGGACCAAGGAAAATGATGATCATCACCTTGTGCCTCAAGAACTGAGACAGCCATCTCACTACCTCCTTGTCGTTCAGAGGAACTCGTTCCTCTCCTGGCTCCCCTGCCTGATGGATCAGGGCACGTCCTCTATGGGTCACCTCAACACCAAAGCTACCCAAGTATGGTTGGATGTGAAAGCCGAGGTGAGTCATAGCAGTGTCAAGCTCCATCAAGACCTCTCCATCTTCTCGAGAAATATGGTCTTTCTCTGGTGACTCTAACTCTGCGATGAAGGCTGAACCCTCTGTTCCTAGTAGGCCATCCTGAATCACTGTGTTGGCCTGCTGCCATCGATTGGTCTTGGCAAAGGTTGTGATCTCCTCCAGAGCTTGCCGCAGCACGGAGTCCTCGAAGCCTGGAGCAACGACACAGAAGCCCTTGCCGCAGACTTTGGTCGCAATCTCCAGGGAAGCGGCCTCCTGTGAAAGTTGCCCGATCACAACATCCGCCTCCTCTTCTAACTGGGAGGGCATTTCGCACCGCAACGCGGGGCCCAAATGGCACTTTGCTAGGAAGGGGTCTGTTCAAAATCAAATGTGCATGACGGGATGTGGCTGCTGGCACTGGCACATGCTTCCTTTTGGAACTGTTAGAATATTTCTTTATCTTGTTTTCGAAACATCATCAAACCCAATGTTCGTTCCTAGATGTTCCTAGGGATAGGGCAGCAGGTGGTGGCCTTATCTTTCTCAATGCCCTACTGCCTTCCTCATTTCTGTTTGAACCGAAGGCCCTCGGCAAACATGTAGTTGTACAACTGGTGAGAACACAGCAGAATCCAACATTGACTGTGAGAGCATGAAAGCTACTTCGAAGTGTTCGAATTGACTTCAACTTCAATGAGGCCCGTGCTGCATTTTGCAGCAAGCTATTGACTGCATAGAGTGTTGACTCTGCCTTTGGGGCATTCGTATGAGTTGGTTGTGCAGCACATCTGCCGCCTTGAAGTCTTGTGGCATGAGAAAAATACTATCGGATGAACAACGCGCGCATATAAATACGTGCATTGTATGAAACACACACACACATACACACACGTATATGTATATTATATCATAGAATAATATGAATCATGTGCACTTTCAGGCGCAAATATAATGTCAGACAGCAAGCAATATTACTTGAATGGTGGTGGGCCAAAGCCTTGGCTAGGGCCATTGTGGATTGCAACTCGCCGCAGAGATACGCAGTCTCTCGCAAGGAATCAGTTGGGTCCTAGCTCTTCCAACATCATAAGGTCTAAATCTGCAGTTGACGTGATGCAGAATGCTTACTCAATCACCCCAGTCCTGCAAAGGCTCATTGAGCATGTACCAGGTCGTCCTACCCGGCCATGTGAGGCTGCGGGTTCGCTTTTCAAGACTTGCCTTGACATTTGAAGGAGATTGGTTCCATCTTGTCCAGTGTCCTTGACAATGACGCCAGAACGCCGGAGAACTGTACCTTCCACAGCACAAAGGTACCAATCTCAGAGGTGGCGGCTGTCTGAAGCAAAGTGCGCCAGGTGCACCGGCCCCAGAGTCTGAATGATCCTGACCAGCTCAAGTGAAGGAGAGTGGCTGTTGGGTGCACTGATGCGCCCAGCCTGTCTTTGGGAGGTGGAAGATCGCTGAACGGTCTTTTAACCTTGAATGCAGCACCATTGGTAAAGTTTCAAACAATTTTGGGGCAAAGGGCCGCACAGTTCGCTGCTTCAGCAAATGCACGTATGCCGGAAGAATGCGATTCTCCTGTGAAGAAGCAGCTGCAACACTCTTTGTCTTTTCATTTCTTATCTGCTCTGGTGAGGCAAAGACACAAATGTTGGCACATGTCCGGCATAGCCTGTCCTGACTCTCTTCGTCGTACTCTGTCCGGAGCAAGCAAGTCAGGGGAAGCCCGCGAACACGCCACCTTGGCTCAGCAATTGATGCCGCTGCAAATCTCTTGCAGCAAACCCCACCTCTTCAACCCTCTAAACCTGTGCATCTGTAAGGACGGCACTCATTGACATCGCACCTAGGCTTTCATCTGGGTACTTTATGACCCACTCGAAGTGCTTGGAAGCAATAACCATGCCGGATTTTTATTTCGTTCACTGACTCACACATGATTTTGAACTCAAACTTGTAAGCGTTTTCTTGCTCGCATATCCATGTCTTGCAGCGATCCATTCATCCATTCCGTGTCACATCATTTCCTTCCATTCCATTGCATCGATTTCACCGTTTGATTCATTTGACCTACAGTTGTCATTGATTCAGTCCTTCAGTTCATGTGTAAAACTACTCAAAAATTGGTCTTACAGAATCTGACGCCTTCCTGACTCGGCTGCTGCATCTCACTGAGGCCAAAGTTCATGCGATGAGATATTTGAATAATATTCACTGAGTGAGCCGATGACAAAGAGAAAGGTTAATGCACTTGCTATTGTGTGCCGCTGGCAGGTAGTGCTCTTCGGGCACAATGGGCATACCGTGTAGATGATGCATGTATCTTATTTATGTGACCCGGGGCGTCAGGAAAAACGTTGCAGGAGCTTTGTGGCAGTGTGTGAAGGCTTTTGTGGAAGCGCGTTGATCGCGTTGCATCTCCAACAAATAAGTTTCCCGTAGCTTTGCGTTGTGCCAAGAAACCCTTTTGAGATACATACATACCGTATACCCCGAAAATGAGATGATCGGCCAATGATCTCCAATCCAAAGATTCCAAAGTGATCCAAGCCCTGGGCTCCAGCTTGGTAGCATGAACCAACAGCCCAGGTTTCTCCAGCTGGATCATGATGCCCTGGAGCCATCGGATGCCGGAGAATCGACCATCTACCAATCGACCTCACCATGGGGAATCAATAGGATGTATGTGGTGCAGATTGGTGCAGCTTACTCGTCCCATAATTCATGGCAGGGTGACAGCTGACCAGCCCAAAGTGTATGCGAGATCCTTAGGTGTTGCCATTTCCATGGAAATGGAGGGAACCTCTAATTGGCCGCTCATCAAACCTGCTCATCTAGGACCTTTTGGGGCTCCTTGCGGTAAGTTACGGTGATGATGATGGGGTAGTGGGTCACAATTTACTGTCCCTGCGCGCTCTCTGGCACAATCAGCTACACCCCTACTGAGTCCTTCCCGATGGCTTACGAATGCCGAGTGTCGCAATCAAAGTTGGTTGGTATAGCTGACCGAGCCTGTCGTCACCAAGCTATGAGATGTGGGTGTGTCTTGCAAAGTGCAAACGATGCCTCTGAACAGGAGCCACAGAGGCCTGATATGTCATCGGGTAGCAGGTCCCGTTGAAGAAGTCCTGGGCACTGGGTCCCGAATCTAGCAAAAGCTTTCCTCGCTGATGTTCTCTGAACATCCAGTGGCGATATCTTTTGAACTGAACAGCTTTGAACTTTGAAAATCTTTGAACTAGTGGAATCATCTCCTAGATCTCCTTGGCGTTTTTTTCCTCGAGTGAAGCTTTAAAACAGGCTCTAGGCTCTGGCTGGCTACTTTGAGCGATGCCGAGCGCCTGCGCGGGAACATGTCACCTTCTCGGGGGATGATACTTTACCAACAAGGCTGGTCTTTTCTCATCCACTTCCGCCTAGATGAGCCTAGCATAGTCCCAAAATGTCCCAAATAGTGTCCGCTGTGCTCCCAAGTACCATAAAGCTTTGCCACATTCTGCGGGATGGTTGTGATACGATCTGTGCAGAGATCGCCCTCAGGGGCTAGGCCAGCATGCCCTCCGTGACTTCGTCAGCTTGGACCTGGCCCACTGGGTGCAGTGGAAGGGGGCCTTACCGGCCTGGCACTGCCTGGCACTGCCTGGCACCTCTGGGTTTGTCTATAGCGTAGCCATCAGATTTTATGATTTTATCTTCATTGATCGTGCCCGATAAAAGGGAGTTGTGCGGTGTACAGTGTGTTCTTGTACTGGACAAGTCCAATTACCGCCCAGGCCTCTTGAATAAGCCCCGTTGGACCAATCAAATATATTCGGTCAGCCAGTTGCAAGCCGTATCGTTTGGAGCCTGTGGCGCAATGAAAAGCTGTAGTTGAGAGATCACGGATACACAAAGATCGGTCAACACCATACGAAGTTGGTAACACCAAGTCTCGGACTTGTAAAAATGCAGGTGCGCGGAGACCTCAAAATAATGAAAATAAGGAGGGCTTTGGCTGTCATATGGCTGTCATACCTGTTGCAAAGAATAATTCCAATTTCTGTCAGTGTCAGTCTGAGTTTTGCCAGCCTGCAGGAAGACTTGGTAGCATATCCAACACCACGGTTTTTGACGTGGCTCTTGATGACTTCCAGCACCATGTGGGAGGTTTTGTCCTTAAAAAAATAACCACCCAAAAGAACACCTCGCCTGTCGCTGAAGTGCGCCTATACGGCAACTGTATGATGTAGTATATAATAATAGTGCTTGCATGCTGCTATGCATAGTCGGTCCCACCCCCAACCATGTTCACCAAGACTAGCACGTCGTACGGCATGGCAGGTTTGTGGAGGAGAAGAACATCAGGATTGGCCTCAGAGCTGCACATGTTTGGCGAGTGCCTTTGAAGGAGCTTGATTCGATTTGAGTTTTAGAATGCAGTCTGCATCAGATCTCATCTCATCAGCCTATAGGACGGGCTAAGGGTTGTGCAACTAACGCCCTCGCAAGACCCAGCTTGGCTTGCTGGGTATGAGACAAGACCTAGCATTCACCGAAAGTGTCATGTGGCAGCTTTGAAGTGCTTTTCTTGAGCTCCTGCCTGGTCCCAACACAGCTTGTCTGGCACATCCAGTAAGGCAAGAATCTCCTGTGAAGAGAGTCCAAACAACTACAGCCACACAGCCGACACATGGAACGAACAATCTATGAACAATCTAGTGATCTCACAGAGACATGTCAAGTTGTCCATGCTTCCTCTGGGAGTGTGAGAAGTTGGCAAATGTGCTTTACCTCGGATGCTTTCGAAAGTGCATCGGCTGACCAGAAACGAGGCCTGACCGATTTGAAGGATACATTGGATACATGATTTGCATCGAGGTCCAAGCACGTTCCAGATCTGCATCGAGGCCATGCACGCCTCCGAAAAGCAACACGCTTCAGAGCCCTTTTGATCCTTTTTGTTTTGGCAGCACTTGCATGATTACTGTGAATTACTGTGAATTGCGTAAGCCTTTTGTTCAAGCTTCTTGTAAATAGCCTAGAGCCATGTTGATCTGTTGATCATCTGAGCGTGCAAGGATGTTAAAGCTGCTGGGCTGCTGGACCGCCAAAATTTCAAACATGCCTTGCCTCCATCAGCGACGCCAAAGATCAAATTATCATAAAGCGTGCCGTGAAACAGGCCAGGCTCAGTTCCCACATGCAGCACCTCGGTCAAGTTGGTCAAGTTGGTCAAGTTCCCAACATACCAACTGAGGTTTACTATAACTCATATATAACGGTATAATGATGTATAATGGTTTATAGCTTTGACGATTGAGCTTCAGTGCCCGAAGGTGCGGCGGAACGAAGAAACCAGGCAAGTTTCCTGCCAAGAACGAGACATTGAATACCCTAGGCCCTAGGCACTTGACTTGAATCCAATGCCTGGATATGCCTGGCCTGCCTTCTAGAACAGCGCAGTGGGAAGTGCCACATGGAACCCCGAATGCCAAGGACTGTGAATCAATCAGAGCCAAATGGCCAATACCCGCTTGACCGGGCAGTGCATTCTGCACTCCTTCTCCAGGTAAAAGCTCACCACCGAACATCTTCAAAATCGAAGATTTCCCGTGGCCATGCAGACCCACGAGCGCAATGAACCTATACAAATGTTGCAAGTTGTGATGTGCATGCTGCATCACAGGTGGACATAGTGCTAAAAAACCAAGCACCCTGAGCTGTTGACTCCCCTTGATGTATGTACAATTCTCCCTTCAGTTGAAGGGCAACCTGGCTTGGCGAAATGGAATCTCAGATTCTGTAACAGAACTACAGCCCAGATTCAAACCAAATTGATAAACCGATGTTTCTGTATAAGCCTTGCGGATGAAGAACTCGCCCTGTTGCGACTTGACGGAGAACTCAATGAGCGGTCCCTGGCCCAAGCATGCCCAAGCATCAAAACAGGGACGACTTAGAGCCTTGTTTCCATTCTGCAAAATGGACTCCGGTGCATTGCTCTTCGAGTTTCCTTCTCAAATGAACCCCTTATATATATATATATATCAACTTGGGCACCCAAGGCTTCATTCAGTACAATTAAGGCTCAAAGATGCTAAAAGGATAGCACTAAGTCTGCCAAACGCTGCACTAGTTGAGAGTAACAAAATGGTTAAAAAAAAACTATGTGTCAGGAGACTCTGAATGGTCAACGCGTTTTTATATGCATGCGCATTGAATTGCCAGACATATCATATGCGTAAAACAAAAAAAAAAACGGGTGCCCATGAACCAGTGTAACCTGCCTTGGAAACCAACATGTACACTGTGATTTGGTGTTTTTTGGGTTTTACCTCCGGAGAGTCGTTGTCATTCATTCATTCATTCATTCAGTCATTCATTCATTCATTCATTCATTCAGTGGTTCATTCATTCATTCATTCGATCATTCATTCATTCATTCATTCATTCATGCATTCATTCATTCCTTCATTCCATTTCATCCATTTCATCCATTTCATTTCATGTCATGTCATGTCATTTCATTTCATGTCATGTCATGTCATTTCATGTAATTTCATTTCATTCATTTCATTCATTTCATTCATTTCATTCATTTCATTCATTTCATTCATTTCATTCATTTCATTCATTTCGTTCATTTCGTTCATTTCATTCATTTCATTCATTTCATTTCATTCATTCATTCATTCCTTCATACATTCCTTCCCTCATTCATCAATTCATTCCATTCGTTCATTCCTTCCTTCCTCCCTTCGTTCATTCCTTCCTTCCTTTCATTCGTTCACTCATTCATTCATTCATTCATTCATTCATTCATTCACCAATTCATTCATTCACCAATTCATTCATTCCTTCATTCATTCCTTCCATTCGTTCATTCCTTCCTTCCTTCCTTCATTCTTTCCTTCCTTTCATTCGTTCCTTCCTTCATTCATTCACTTATTCATTCGTTCATTCATTCATTCAATCACTCATTCATCCATTCATTCATTTTTTCATCTTTTCAATCATCCATACATTCCTTCCCTCATTCATTCATTCATTCATTCATTCCATTCGTTCATTACTTCCTTCCTCCCTTCGTTCCTTCCTTCCTTCCTTTCATTCCTTCTCATTCATTTCTTCATTCTTTCATTCTTTCATTCTTTCATTATTTCATTCTTTCATTCATTCATTTCATTTCATTTCATTTTATTTCATTTCATTCATTCATTCATTCATTCATTCATTCATTTTTTGAATTCACTTCTCTCCAACTCACCAAGAAATCCTATAAGCAAACTGTTTCCTATAGCCTATAGTCATGTCGTATTTGCAGAACCTCCGCCCTGGCGTGCCGGGCACTACCTGGTAGACCAGTCTGACAAATCCAAGATGTCCGCAATACCGCATGGACATGTCGATATGGATAACGGTTGTATAATGTCGTATACAGCCATATCTGAGGGAGAACGAAAAGTAAGGCAAAAAAAAACGGCCAAACATGTACGAACGAGCAACGTTCTTCATAATATGGTTTTCCGGACGTACAGAAGTATTATAGGTGCGTGCTTGTTACAAGCATGCATCATGTGCATCCATGTGGTCGAATGTGAACGTTTCAGTAGGTTGGGTTCGTGATAGTTCGTGCTCATAAATCTGAAGCATTTTGTTGTGTCTCTGCGCTGCTCCGTGGTCATCTCTGATCGCTGTAGTCTACACTTGGAGATGGACATGCTGCAAGAAATACCCTTTCCCCCTACAGAACTTTTTGTTTTAGGGACAGGATCGACATGTACGAGGCCGTTAGTCCTGCGCTTTTGGGTTGCATATTTCTGCAGGTGCATTCCCGCGAAACGCATGACTGATGTGTGGCACGTGAAGCATGGGTAAAGCTTCTGGCCTTGAGGAACAGCGGCATATCGTCCAATTTCAGCTTTGAGGTTTCACTTTTCTCCTCCATAATGCTCCGCATTCCCTTTGATGCGGAAATCAAGTGCCTGGCTACACTGGCCGATTGCTAGACAAACAAACCTCCATCAGTCCTGTGTTGCCCTTAGCATCCCCTAACAGTGTAATGACATGTATTGATTGTAATGCACATGTCTATTCAGCGACGCGATGCCTCAACAGCTTTCGGCGATCAGGAAGATCGGTCGGAAGATTCATGAGGATGACGACCTGCAAGGATTTTCCAAATTTTTCCAATAATTCCCCGCATTGTGCCCTTCCCTCGACGGCTTCTGAGCAAGTCCCGAGATCCCCAACGCGCTCGAGCCCGGGCAAAATACTGTTTATCTCGACACTCTTACCTCAAATGGAAAAAAGATGAAAAAAGTGTGAAAACACGTGAGCTGCTCCTTACTGCAACTTCTGCCCAATGTCATGTCCTGTCTAGATCTGTCTAGTATGGCCATTGCAAGGTATTGCAATCTTGTCCCGAGGATGTGGCTGCAAATCAAACTCCATGTCACATTGATTTGCGTGAACAAGGTGATGTCTGCCAGGAAGATACCCATCCTGCGCAGGAATGGAATAACTTGTGATACCTTGGGATCGCCTGCACACATCCACTTTCTCAATGTTGGCTCATGTTGATGCAATTTATGGCCTCATCTTTCCGTCTATGACCTCAAGCCCGCCGACGAGCGTGTACCTTAATCAATTGGACCCTGACATACCCTGACAACCCCAACAGAACCGACGCCATGGCACTGGAATGTGGAATGACTGAGGCACCAGCGCTGCCAGCATCACGAGCCCCATCCAGTTTGCAAAGTACATGTTATTCTTCATGACTTGAAGGGTGTTTATCAACGAGCCATTGAAGGCTGCGATCCCCTTCTCGAACTGGTCAATGGCTTTCGCCACTCCACCAAGGTTCCGAATGATGGTGTTGTTCAGTGTGACCTGTGACGTGCGAGTTGCAGGAGCATGCATGACACCATATGACACCATTATCGGATAAACATTGCATCAACGTGACAACAAATCTTGGCAGCTGGCACTCTGCATCTGGCTGACCAAGGAAGCTCGTTCAGCATTTTCGGCTTGCTGAACGTGAATTGTAGTTTTGCGACCTTGGCCAAAGCCCTCTCCAAACAAATCAAACAGTCAGAAGTTACAGGCACAGAAAGTCAATTATGATTGTGACATATTGTAAGATATTGTAAGTATATCCCTATCCGCCCTATCCTATCCAAATCATGGCCAAGTTTGTCCCAAGTTGTCCATTCCGGAGGCTCAGGTCAGCCGAGCGTCGGCAAATGCCAAAAAGAGCCAGGACTGTGGGATGTACTGCGAGTGGAGCGATGCTCCATGGGCTGATGGGCTCTTGGAGAATCAGCCGGGAAATGATCTGGTACGCTAAGACCTTAGCTGAGTTCAGCTGAGTTCAACTGTTCTTCTTGATAGGTTCTTCATGGTTCTTCAATTATTTGTTTCTCACTGTTTACACCTTGCCGTTTGCTGAGTTCTGAGTATGGGACAGTTGCGAGATTTTGTAAATGGGATATGATTTCCAGGACTCCCATATAACCATTCTGCACGATATCTTCGACGTCCTCTCGCAAATCTGATGGCTCTGGTCGTGGAATCCAAACCTTCCGCCTGCCCCTGTTAGCCAGTGCTGGTTTTAAACTGACTCATTCGGTCCTTTGTCATGGCCATAATCTCTGCACCTTGCTTGATGTCAATCCTCGCGCAGACTTTGCAACTTGTTTCCGTGTTTGCGCACTCTTCCCGAAAAGAGCACCGCCAATGAAGTGCGATACCCTCACTAGCTTTTTGGATTTAATTGAACATGAATAAATTCGTTCGTTTTAGGCAGAATGAATGCGCTAGCACAACTTTGGAGTCCTGGAGGACACATCATAGTGTAAAAGCCTTCGCACGAGCGCAGAAAGCAGCTGCGCTCGCGATGCCCCACCTTGGAACATTCTCAATGGATCTCAATGGCATCAGAAAATGTCGATCTTCACTCTGAGGCTTTTGCCTACTCTCCATGTCAGGGAGATGTAGTCGAGGTAGTGGAGGACTGCAAAAGGCAGCAGCATGCCGCACATCACTGCCACCAGCATTCCCGGACCTGTCGCAAGAAAGAAACGACAGGCTCCAAGCATGGACAGCTCAAACCGTAACAAACAACTACATGATCCTGCAATATCCTGCATCACCTGTAGACTCAAAGGATTCTTGCGCTGCGATGCCAAAGGAGCTCTCTGCAAGAATCTAAGCAACCAGCGGCTATGCAGAAACTCTACCACTGACTGCGGGGGATCAGGAGAAAGCTCTTCCCCGCTCTTGAAGACTTTGTCGACGAGCAACACGCTCAGAAACAGCCTTTGTTGCACACCAGTGTGGGTGACGAGACAATGACCGATTCCAGGTTGGAGATGTGATCAATTTCGCTCATCTGTTATGCAACAATATCCACCGCCGGCCTCAAAATTCCATACAAGTGATGGCACTCTGCAGCCATCAACATCTTAATCGTACCTCAACAGGTTCAGCTTTCAGACGGCAAGAATCTCTAGAAAAATACCGCACCTCTGCGAACGGTGTCATTGCGAAAGTTGAGCTTCAAGTACTCCCCCATCAGAATCAACAGTGGTGCGTTTTCAAGTGCTTGCCTGGCTTCCAAACACACATTGGAGATCATTGGAGTCGGCCAAAGTGGAGAAGCAAACTTGATTGCCATTCCGATTCCTTGCCTGAAGTGCTCCCACGACAAACTCTTCGCAAGCTTCCGCACATCGACAACGTTCGAGGGAAAAGCGTCCTTTACAAAGTGGGAGTCGACATTTAACACACAACAGCAATCTAAGAAGGAAGTCGAAACTGAGTGAAAGTAGGCACAATTTTGCCCTTGTTCCAGGAGTCCTTGTCGTCTATCTTCACTCGTGCCGATCTTCCATACGCATCCAGTTCAGCATTGGAAGTGGTGGACGGGTCAAGAATTACCTGCACGTTTGGTGTGGTACACTCATTCTTCAATTTCAATTCTGTTAGGTTTTCTTCTACGTCTTGAATCTGCATTCATATAATTTCATATCTTCCATGGTCTTTCTTTCTTTCCTCTCTGCTATCATATTTCTCTTGGAGTTCCGACGCACTGGCTGGGCAAAGGCATGATCGCGACTGATTTCCTGTCCTGCCTCGAACTCTAGAGTTGGAGACCACTCGTCGCTGGCCTCAAGGCCAAAACTCTCTGAGTGCTAGAACAACAAGGTCTGAAGTCACACTCAAAAGATGCAACAAAAGCAACAAAATAGCAAAAAAACAACTCAAACTGATGTCTTCTAGGCAATCGGCTATCAGGTCAATGCTCACAGTGACGGAATCCGTGCCGGGTTTGAAAACCAACCTGGCGTTGGAAAAGGATGGAGAAGGGCTGCCAACGACTGCGAACCGTGAAGCCCATCCTTTCACACGTGAATCAAGTCCTTCGTCAGAAACTTCTTAGGTGATCTCCCGCTCAGGTCGGTGCATCTTCCGTTGTTCGACGTAATTTACATTGGCCTCGCAATAAACGAGAGCTACCAGGCTTGCATGTGTCCCAAGTCTCTTCAAGATGACACTGGGGCGCAGGTTGTGGAGAACAGCAAAAGGCCTTTGCAAACAAGTCGTTGGTATGAAGCACAACCCTTGACCTTAAGGCAAGCAAAGAACAAAATGAAGAAGGATGATGAAATCTGCTCAAGCACATCGCATCGGGGTTTCCTTCGGCAAAGACTCTGAGACCTGTACTCGGCATGCAACGGCCCTGAACGGGTTACCTGACAAAAATGTGCGGATGCATGTCTTGGCTGGTAGGTTAAGAAGCTAAGAAGTTGCTCCGCCCTCGAAGCGCCTCAATCTCAAACTTCTGCTCTTCCTCGCCCACAAAGTAGCGAGAGGTGGCAAATCGTAGCCTGGAACGCGGCCGAAGAAACCATGCAGGTTCATCATGTTTCATCCATATCATCAAGTGCTCGCTTGGGATGTTGAACCACCACTAGCCTTGGCAACTCTGAGATATATTCCTCGAACTCCTGCAAGCAGCCGTGCAATTGGTGATTCCCACGTGGGATTCCCACGTGGATTCCCACCCGCAAATTGCGACCAACTCATGGCCAAACCCCATTCGCTGATCGTGGGATTCGTGGGTCCCACCTCATCCACGATTCGTGGGATTGTTTTTGGGTCGAAGCTTGGCCAGGTCGACTGCCGCTGTGTAGATCTCTTGAACACTTGGGAGGCACTAATTGCAGTCAGCCTTGGGCCCACGCATGAAGGAGATTTAATTCAGAACTAGAGTGAAGGGAAAGGCAGGGAAAGGTGCAAACTGCCCGACTCAGGCAAAACATGTTGCTTATGCCTGCTCATGCCTGTTCAGCTCCCATCACAAGGACTCTACACTGGACACCAGTTTGATCACCTTTGTTCAACTCTAGGAGTGACCACACTGGTAAAATGTCGTAAAAGATTGTCAACTCGTTTATACTCGTTTTAATGGATGTTCAAATATGTTCAATAAAATCGAGTGAATCCAAAGCCGTTGCTTCCAAGGAGCAGCGGTGCCTCCAGCTCCGGCCGGGCTGTGAGAAGCTGCGTCATCACCCTGACCACTTCCTCATCATCGGCCTCATCCTGCAGGGCTTGGAACTCAGCACTGGTTTTAAATAGTTTTTATATGTTCAACAATATGTTGTAATGGCTTTTTGGCTGGGTGCTTCTCAAGTCTTATTACTCATTAGCCTTGCCACGGTTTTCCTCACCTTGAGCCAGTGCAAGGCAAACTGCTCAGACACTTTGACCGTGACATCAGATGTGCACCTCGGGGATGATCGGGGCATAGCTGGTCACTTCGAGACATCAAAGCAACGGGCTTCAAGCAGCCAGGTGCTGCAAAGCATTAAGGTAATGACTCGTCCAAGTGATCTACTGCCACTTTGGAGCAGTCAAAGCAATGCGACTTGTTGGCCAAGAGCGGTTCATCTTCCTCAGCGGTGACATGCGGTCAGCAACCCACAAAATACTCAGGCTGGACAGCTGCAATCAGCTGCATCAAGTTCGCGTAAAGTGAGAACTGCGTCCCTAAGGGGCAGGCATTGTTTGCCGCAGGCATCGTGCTGCATGGCAGGCCGCTCTTTCATGTCACTTTTCTCCAGCCGCAATGCTATGGCCAGGCGGTGATAAGCAATGCAATGCACACACATATCAATCCAACTCACTCACATGCGGATGGGAACTGGACCGAAAATTATTCTGATGAGTGGGAAGCAGAATTCAAGATATGCATTGGCCTAAACATAAGCTGCTATCCACAGGTGGTCCTCCTTGATAATACCTAATTGCCTGCGACGGTGCAACTCGATTTCCACCTGAGCGCAACCGGCCATGGAGCAAAACAGAAAATGGGCGGCGAAGTGAACGAGGACCACACGAAACGAAGCAGAAGTCGATCCGTCGAGATCGTAGAGAAGTCCACCTTGTTCATGTACCTGTGTCACTGTGATGTCACTGTGATGTCACTGTGATGTCACTGTGATGTCACTGTGATGTCACTGTGATGTCACTGTGATGTCATTGTGATGCACTTTGCTTTCAGGAGCCGTTGAAACAATCAAGACACATGAAGCATCTAATCAATGGGCCTCTCTCGGCCACCGAAGCACATCTCATACTGCACATCTCGTGGGATGACTTCAAACAGGGCTGCCTTGTGACACTGCCAACACATCTTAATCACTCTTAATCCCTGTGCGTCGAATCTCATGCAGCCGAATGCTGCTCCAAGGCTTCGACTGTACTTGGCTTCAATTTGGAGGCAATGCTTGGAATTGAATCCCAACCTGGTTTGTCTCAAAGAATTAATTTGCCACATCGCACCGCACCGGAATGAAATGTACCTGTATCTTTAATTGCTCTTGGGATGTGGCTCTGTTCGTAATGATTCCTGGACATGACCTCCATCAACTCAGAGAAAAGAACGCGAAGCTCCAAGATATCGTTGACGAACCTCATCTATTGCTGGTCGGCCGCAGCCAGGCCCCAATGCTGCACAATGCTGTCGCTTAAGCACAGTAGCCGGAAAGTGACACAAATGACATAACTCATTCAGGCGTCGGGACATGTTCTTGTGAGTAGATGTGAGTGCGTATGACGACCACTGCCACTTTGCATCACTTTGCCAGGGCCAGCACCCCACTGGAAGCATGATGATGCCATGATCTTGGCCTGGGAGCTTTACTGCACAACTCTCGAAACGTGGGGCTGCACAATATTGTACAATAACTTTACAACCTTTGCCTTTGATCACAGTCATGGTCACACTGTCCAAGTCCCTCAGTGCCTGCTTCATGCCGCTGGACGATCAAATCGCAGAGGCACCTATGCTGCTTCACTGTACGTTGGCATGGTGCAGTGATGAGTGTCAAATTTCAATTTCAGCTTCCTTATCTTCCTATATCTTCCTTTAGTTTCATTTTTTCTATCATGTTCTCAATTGCTTTCTGACATTTTCTGAATCTGAGGAGTTGGCTGCACAATTTTGGCCAAATATTGGCCCAGCAGCTGGCTTCCAGACATCAGGACCTTGGCTTGGCGGCGCCTGGCGTCTCTGCCGGATCCAAAGGGAACACGGGTGGTGTGGATCTCAGGCCATTGCCATGTGCACATGAGTCTCCAAAGTGATTTGAACCTTGGCACATCTTGGCACATCTTGGCACAATTGAAATGCCACCAATTTCAGGCACCGCTTCGCATCTCGTTTCAAGCACAAGCCATAGCAACGGTGTTATGGCCCTCACTGCCACGTGAGACCATGCGTCACCTTGGCATCAGGAGACGCAAAAGCCATGCAATGCCACCCTCTGAGCTCCTTGTTGTGTCGGTTGCTTCTTGTCAACCCGTGCAATGCCAATCCTTCATAATGTGCATCAGAGAATCCCATTGTTCGCACGAAGATCCACATATTCCTCCAGCAAAGGTCCCCGGTACTGCTGAAGAGCTGCAACCGTGGACAGGACATGACAGGACTGCCAAATGGGTTGACATCCGAAGCTCCGAACCATATCGCACCCTTCTGCCAGATCCGTCCTCGAAGCCTTCACCAAGTTCCCAATGGTTCCAACGAATGCGGACAGAGTTCGGGTCACCTCCGTAAACGGTTAAACTCAATTAAACGCTGACAAGCCCAGCTGTTGCGCACACATCTTTGCCAAAAAGGATTTCTGTTCATCTCCCATTGGTCACCGTGTCAAAACCCACGCTCTGCTGCACAAATGGGAAGTTGCAGTCCAAGGATACCTCACAGTGTTGACAGGGCATGGCACGGCAAAATCAAGCGCTAGAAATCCCGAGGGCACTGGGACTCCAATAACCTTTGTTGGAAGTCTCTCAGCAGCACATGCCTGCTGCAGGTGCCAGCACGCATGATCGTGATCGCATGATCGTATAAAACATTATAAAACCATCATAAAACCCATGCTTCACTGCCTCAGCCAGGAATGCGGTGTCCACCTGGCGTTTGGCTTGCACTCTATACGTTTTACTTTCTGAATCGCCCTAAGATTGGTGAAAACTAGCGAAAGTGGCTTGGTTTTCTGAAGTTTTGACGTTTTTTTTTGGCCTGGTTGGCGAGATTTCCAACCATCACCAGGCCGTCCAGCTGGTGCCGCATGATTGTCTTGATTGCACCCTGCCAGCTTCACATTGTTTCACTTCGTAACCAAAACAGTCAAAGCAAGATAAAGGATGATAAAGGATCAAGAGCAAGGGAAGCACAAGAAGATCGCAGAATTGAAAGGGTCAACTATTATCAACTGCTATTTTCCGACAAGTCCCTAGCAGCATATTTGTAGACGGAAGGTCTGGCAAGACCCAATTGCACCCAGGCCCTCTGCTGCGTCACAAGATTGAGTAAGCACAAGCATGAGCAAGGTGAATATGTCCGCCATGTTGCGCCGTGCTTGCTGATGTGTCCATGTATTCTATGGTCACATTCAAGGCGACCAAACGCAGGTAACTGGCAAACCTACCTTTCTACCATTTCACAGCGAACACATTGCCTAAGGAATCCTAAGGGCTACACACTTTGCATTAGAGCGCTCTAAGCAAAGAGGGCACCCAGTCAGCCAGGAAGTAATAACATGTAATAACCTCCTATTGACTCCCTGGTGATATTCACCTCCAAATGGAATTTCCCTGCCTGCAAATGATCCTTGAAGGCCAGGGTGGATGGATCCCCGAATTGGCACAACAGGTCCTCTAAGAAGGCAACGAAGCTGAAGGATTTTGAAGGAGCATGCTCGAATGGTCTGATTTGATCTGGTTGGTCTGACTCTGCCCTGCAGAATCTTGCCGAGCCCATTTTTCCGCTTGCAGCTCCGAAGCAGTCAGGTCTAAAAGACAGCTGCGTGTCCAAATCAAACAGACCTGGCCCAAGGAGTCTGCAAATACAAAGGTTTCACCCTCTTGCACCTTTTCCTTTTGCTAAATCATTTCATTCTTTTTCAATTTCTCCCAAAGACAATTGATCTGTCCTCAAGAGTTCTTTTTCCCTAAAACTTTCAAGTTTTGCATATCCGACTCCTCTCTTGCATAGAGCATGTTGCCCCCAAGACTCTGCCTATGTTCAATGTGCGAAATTGCGGGGAAACTCTTGGGATCTTTTGGGCCGTGCTGGTTGCACCGCCCTGGTAAAACCACAGCTGATGCGTCAGGTGCCTCTCAGCAGCTGCACATAATTTCACGTACGCCTAAAATATAAAAGACGACTCAAAGACTTCAGGTGACACCACTCTGACGACTCTATGGGGCAATGATTGAGGCCACTCAAGGTCATGGATGGTCATGGCCCATCCAGCATTGGCTTGCCCTTCTGCAAGAACTGGAATACTGCAGTTGCCACCTTCGGAAAACTGCGACTCTCACACTGCACAGAGTCACAGAGCTAGGCTTTTTGTTGTGTCCTGACATGTCCTGACATGTCCTGACATGTCCTGACATGTCCTCGCCATTGGAGAACCAGCCTCAATTCTATGAGGGTTCTTGTCGGGATGCCACTGTCGGAGAAGCTCTCGCCACTCCTTCATTCTGGCTTCCTTTGGCTCCACCGTCCTTGGCGAAACAGCAAGCATCATCTCGAGTTGCCCTTTGGCAAATTTTGGCAATGGATTATTGCCGGATTATATAGATTTAAGGAGGGGTGAGATGAACAGATTGCTTATTTGTCTACACTTATCCCGTGTTCACCTATCGATGCCAACCTCCAACTTACCTTCAAGCTAAGTGCTTGGCTTGAGCTTTAGCAGCTTTTCCAAAGCCTCTGCTTTGGCCTGCTTGGCTTGCCAAGCACTCTGGGTGGGCCATTTGGGCCGTTGCAAGAACACATAAAGCGTACACTGCTGAGTTGCGAATGGACCCGTGACCTTGTCAATGTCTGGATTGTTGCTGACCGGCCTCAGAATCTCTTGAAGATGAAGTCTGGGCAGTTGTTGGAATATCATGACAAAGGCTGATGAAAAATGAAATATGATGAAACATTAGGAGTGCTGCACAGCACACCCGGTAGACAAGACGTCGAACGGAAGTTCCCTGGGTCGTTCGCTTTGACCGTACCTGCTGGGGCACTGGCTCGGTGTGAGCAGGTTCCTCCATAACACAGCCACTGCTGCTTGATTTGCTCTTGCTGCTCTTGATGGAGTCTCCACTGGATGACCTCAGGGCATCCAGTAACATCCAGTAACTGGCTCGGCAAACACCCGCGAATAGGTGGCATAGACTTAGGAATATGATGGAATCGATGGAATATGTATAGGTGCCAGGCTTCTTTCTTTTGTGCTTTTTGGTCTGCGCAAACAACATCATACAATGAGTGTGCTTCCCCCAGATTATCAGCTGCAAGCCCAGCCCACTTAGCCCACTTGGCCCACTTGGCCAATTCATCACGTTGTGGAAATGCTGCTTCAGCTGATGGCAAGGTGACCTTCTTTTTCTTACTGCTGGAGGAGCTGCCAGAGCTACTCTTTCTCCTGGTGCGAAAAAGAATGGAAACGGCCAGCGGCCAAAGTTGGGCTGAGGTTTTGTAAAGACTGGGCAAGCGCTCGGCCACCTCTTCTTGTGCTTCTTTTTTTCTTTCTTTTTGTGTTTTTCTGACCTCTGCCGTTTTGTAAATGTGGGAGGCTTACTCAACACTTGATCTAGGGAATCTAGGGTACCTATTGCACTGAGCTGGAAACGGACTGCTGCTTTCTTCACTTGCAGCTTCTGCTTCTGCCTCTCCTTCTTTTGGCCCTCCTTTTCCAGCAGCCAATGCCTTTGCATGACAGGTGGTTGTCCAGTTCACATAAATCCACTCATCGAACTTGCCGTACCTTCATGAGTCTAACTGCATGCCACATTCCGATTCCTGTCATTTGTATCGATCCATCACAACCTTCCTTTCTGCTGACAAGTCACTTCCCGGATGGCGCGGGCACCAGCATGAGGAGAGAGCCTACATTTTGACGGCAGGTCGTCATTCACACACACGTAAGGAGAATAGAAGCCGGGCTTATGCGGGCTTATAGCACTTGCAGGAGGACTTCAACTGGAGAGGCTAATGCCAGTTCAGATTCAGCCAAGCGCTTTGAGCATCTTGTAGTGATCTATCAGGCCATCTGGGGCCAGTTTGCGATACAACACTGCAACACTGCAAATCAAATGGATTTTGAATCATCCAGGTAATCAATTTATATCAGCTTAATTCAGTTTCATCAATATCGATCAATATCCAAACAACAACCGCAGGAACCCATATCCGTCCTTGAGATGGGTTTTTGAAAACAGCATTGCCAGTTGAACGAATTGATTTGCATCGAAACAGTTGAAATCTAAGCTCTTGGCGTTCGACGTGGCAGAATTGGTGGGCCACCAGGTGGATCTGAAAAGGGTATGCAAACGTGTTCGGACCACCCTTAAAAATATTCAAAAATCACCATGCCATGAGCAGCTTACCAACTACTGGAACGACATATGACCCATGCCCCAGGCCTGCCGTAATTGGCTTTGGCGTCTGGCACTTGAAGCATACGTTCCGCTTCAAGAAATTACGCTCATTGCACGACGGGCAGTTCCTCAGCTCAGGGTCTAGAAATTTCTTGGATCACAACATATCGACATTTCCAGAGTATGCTTGTCTTGGCTCTGCGCCAGTCCCTGCTAGTGTCCTTCAGAAAAGCACGAAAGAATGAACAGGATTTTTTTGACACCGCGACTCGCATGTGTATACCACATACCATAAACCATACACCTACATTACCTTACATTACTTTACATTGCATTGCATAGAATAGAATGGCATTGCGTTACATTAAACTACATTACATTACATTATATGATATTATATGCACAACACAACGCAACATTACATTACATGACATTGAAGTACATTGCATTAGATACATTACACTACATTACACTACATTACATACATAACAAAACAAAACAAAACATAACATGACATAACATGAAATAACCCAACATTACATTTTATACGTAACATTACGGGCAAACCCCTCAGTTTGCCCACGCCGACGCCGACGACATGTCCGAACATCAAAAAACACTGTGTTTTGTTGGACAAAATGCACATGTCCATGATCATGGTTTTCATGTTGCAACGTGCAGCTTAGCTACCTGTGCGTTGAATGTTACTACTACTACTACTACAACATCATCATCATCATCACCATCATCAAACCCTTATTGAAGATCTTCAATGAATGTAGAAGTCTAACGGGGGTGGGAAAATTAAACCCTTATTGAAGATCTTCAATGAATGTAGAAGTTTGAAGGGGGTGGGAAAATTAAACCCTTATTGAAGATCTTCAATGAATGTAGAAGTTTGAAGGGGGTGGGAGAATTAAACCCTTATTGAAGATCTCCAATGAATGTAGAAGTTTAACGGGGGTTGGAGAATTAAACCCTTATTGAAGATCTTCAATGAATGTAGAAGTTCAACGGGGGTGGGAAAATTAAACCTTTATTGAAGATCTTCAATGAATGCAGAAGTTTGAAGGGGGTGGGAGAATTAAACCCTTATTGAAGATCATCAATGAATGTAGAAGTTTGAAGGGGGTGGGAGAATTAAACCCTTATTGAAGATCTTCAATGAATGTAGAAGATCAACGAATTTATATTCCCAATACCCTTGTTGATCTCGCAATTGAATGTAAAGTTTAACGGGTGTCGGAATTTATATTCCTTCAAAATCCCTAAGAAGTTGTGTGGGCGAACTGGGGGGGTTGCGCGTAGCATTACAATACATTACAATACATTACAATACATTACAATACGTTACAATACATTACAATACATTACGATACATTGCACCACATTACAATACATTACAATCATTACATTACAATACATTACATTACAATGCAATGCAATGCATTACATTACAGCACAATGCAATGCATTACATTACATTACAACACAATACTTTATTACATTACAATACATTACACTACATTACATCACATTACATTACAATGCATCACATTGCATTACAATACATTGCATTACAGTACAATACAATACAATACAATACCTTGCGTTACATTATATACATAACATTACATGACATAACATAACATTAAATTGCAATACGTTACATTACATTACATTACATTGCATTGCATAGCATTGCATTAAATCAAAATACATATTACTATACATTACTATTACATTACATTACATCACAATGCAGTACATTGCATTACAATACATTGCATTACACCACAATACAATACATTACATTACATTACAATACCTTGCATTACATTATAAACATTACACTACATTGCATTACATTACATTACATCACAACGCATTACATTACAATACTACATTGCATTGCATAACATTGCGTTACATTGCGCTACAATCCAATACATTACATTGCATTACATTACATTACATTACAATACATCACATTTCAATACATTACATCACATTACACTACATTACATACATAACGTACATATATATATATATATACATTAGATGTGAGATGTAAAGCATGGATACTAAAACGGTTCACTCTACCCAGGCTCACATCCGCATAGCTTTTTCCTTTCCAGTCTCTTCGTGCGGTCTCAACCTGCTCCTCGCAGGATAGTGCTTTGGAACGCTGTGCAGGTATCCCCCTGCACAGCAGCACTGGTTGGATCCGTACACCCTGTTCCGCACTCCTGTAAACTCAGGAGGCTACACAGGTTGAATCACTCCCGCCCAGTGCTACAGTCGTGGAACTCCACGTAGAGATCAACATCCTCAATGATGTGATCCCCTACAAGGGAGGATACTCCACCGGAGTCCTACCTCATAGGGAGGGAAGGGAGGGAAAAGAAAGAACGATGAAGCCAGTTTGGCTCAGACTTGAGCCAAAATGGATTCATCAGCTTACATACTCACCCTAATGATCATGCACACCCAGTGCCTGCCAAACACGATGCATACATACATTAGATGTGAGATGTAAAGCATGGATACTAAAACGGTTCACTCTACCCAGGCTCACATCCGCATAGCTTTTTCCTTTCCAGTCTCTTCGTGCGGTCTCAACCTGCTCCTCGCAGGATAGTGCTTTGGAACGCTGTGCAGGTATCCCCCTGCACAGCAGCACTGGTTGGATCCGTACACCCTGTTCCGCACTCCTGTAAACTCAGGAGGCTACACAGGTTGAATCACTCCCAATGCACTTCTATCCCAAAGCACTCAGAGAAACTCCACAACCCGGAGAAACGCGGGAAGTGGTAGAGACCAAATCTCGAAGGGGAAAAATGCAAAATGCGTGGTGAACTCATGGCGTTTGTGCCATGTTGCCTGAAGGCCGTCCCTGCTGATCTCGTCTGACCAGTTGGCCTTACTAGGGATCCATTCCCAGAAAAACCAAGCCCTAAGACCAAAAAGGGTAATATGAATCAAACGAGCCATATGCTCTAAATCTGCATTGTCAGAACGACCTCGAATCAAAGCCATGAGCGCCGCTGTGTTGTCAATGAACCAAAGTCCTCTTCTGCCCCGAAACGATGACAGGCGAGAAAACAAAGCATAGAGCACTTGCAGCAGCTCGAGTTGGGCAATCTTCTTGTCGCCAGGCTCCCAAAGGCTGTACACCAACGATGGGATGAGCGAGACAAATGCCTCTCGCTGTTGCCGGCTGTCATCATGCCATACTACCAGAAATCCTCCTGTACCCTGGCCTGGGCTCTCCAGAGCAGCATCAGAAGCTGCTAGAAAACGTAGCCCTGCATGTGGCCAGATTTCGATGTGCATGGAGGGTCTGGTAGTGATGATGGTGCGCAATAGACTGAAGCTTTGGCGCAACTCCTCAGTCAACTCTGCGGAGCGCTCCTGCTGTCTGCGCTTGATAGGGGCCAGGCCTCCGCAGCCAATGCGCCCCCATACTCCGAGCTCAAAGAAGTTGGCGATGCCGTAGATCTTTGCGGCCACCCCTGGCTGCAGTTTGCTGGAATCCTCAGCGGTCTGCATGAGGTGGAGCAACTTGGTCTCGATGCGTTCACGGGCCCAAAACTGAATGATGCCCTTGGCATGAACTTGACTGAAATCATGATCAAGCCCCAGGAAGGTGCCGGCACTCTGCATCTTCTGACACTTCTCCTCTGAAAAAGGCGTGCCCAGCAGGGTGTTGAGCGTCTGCATGGCTTGTTGGCCTGATCCTTTGCAGGACTTGCGGTCCGTAACATGCGCATCATCGAAATACAAACTCGTCAAACAAAAAGCAAATCGACGCGATAACGCTTCCACAAAACGACTGTATCGATTGAAGGACGTGACTGCAAGGGGGAGACCAAAAAGCAATCCAGTATAAATATCCTCTCAACTACTATCCCCAGACCCTAGGAAACTTCATTGTAGACCCTGGATCTAGGGTCTGAAGTGGGGTCTGGGATGATAATCCCTAGGTGATTCCAGAAATATAACGGAACCACGCTAGACCTTACCTAGGGGTCCGGGAACTTGCACATAACACAGCTATGATCCTGGAAGGCTCAGAGAGGTAACTTCACTTTAGACCCCTGGTTCCTTCAAACAGCTCCCGGCATCTCCGGCAGTAAGCCTAACAAGACGCATCCTTCCAGGTATTTTGGGGTTGGATGTGTATGTAATGTGTCCCAATATGTTTTTCCTATCTTTTCCTCATCTTCATGGGTCTGAAATGGTTTGCCTGATCCTGAAACCATAAATATTCACCACAAATGCTATGGGAACATCATTTCAGACCCATCAAGATGGACCATTCCCAACTATACAGAGGAGAAACCATCACCATCAAGAAAGAAATCAATGATATGTGTTGATACCAATGGGTATTTGATTTGGAATCATTTCCACATTCGAGGTATTTTGGGGTTGGATGTGTATGTAATGTGACTCGATATGTTTTCCTATGTTTTCCTCACCTTCATGGGTCTGACATGGTTTACCACATCCTGAAACCATAAATATTCACCACAAATTCTATGGGAACATCATTTCAGACCCATCAAGATGGACCATTCCCAACTATACAGAGGAGAAACCATCACCATCAAGAAAGAAATCAATGATATGTGTTGATACCAATGGGTATTTGATTTGGAACCATTTCCACCTTCCAGGTATTTTGGGGTTGGATGTGTATGTAATGTGACCCGATATGTTTTCCAATGTTTTCCTCATCTTCATGGGTCTGAAATGGTTTACCACATCCCGAAACCATAAAAAATCGTTTATCGCAACCATCCATCAAATATGTTATTCGTTTATTGGTGCGATTATGCACCATTATGAACCATTACAATCCATTACATAAAAAATAACATCGCCATTTTACCATCATCTTGTGACAACAAGATTGCGCCTTATGTCTCCACTGGTTGTGGTTGATTGATGTTGGTTGTGGTTGCTTGGTATGCGTTTGGCAACCTTTATTAAGGTTCCAAGGATGCAAAGGGTCTAGGATGAAGTTCCCTATGCAAAAGCCAAAAGGTCTAGAATGGGTTTCCCTCATGATAGCAAGGGTCTAACATGGTAGGAGGCAAAAGGTCTACAATGATTTTCAGACCATCTTAGACCTTCCATATTGGGAGCCCTAGGCAAACCATCTTAGACCCTCTAGTAGTTGAGGGTATGTATAAATCATGAAATCTGGTTGTTG